GTAGAAATAAAAAATGGGGTTGCAGCCTTGGTGGAACTTGTGTGACGCTCACCACACCGTGAGCTGTGATTTTCCCTTTTTCAGCTCAGCAACAATTACTTCTTTCTCATCACTGTCTTTCTTCCTGTGTTGAAAATTGGTGATTTTTTACAAGGCATTTAGGAGGGTTTGTGGTCCAGAGGTGCAACCATCCCTGCCCACTGTGTTTATAAACTTTAAAGGAGAATATGAAGAAGGGGAAAGAAAGCAATAATCCTGGTGTGGGTTATGCCTGTGCAGAATGGAAAGGTGAAGGAGCAGGGTGGAGAACACAAAGAGCAAAGAGAGGGTGGGTGTGGTGTCTGCACATCCTCTGGGAGATGGTGTTTCATTCTGCTGCAGTCCAGATGCTCCAAAATCTCCTGTCCTGGGGAGCCAAGATGTGCCTTGAGGGAAAATGCTGCTTAAATGGAGATTGCTGCCACAAAAATGAAATGAAAGTCGTCAGGACATACCCATGTTGTGATTTTGGAGATGTTAGTTCCCACTGGCAAATTAAGAAAGAGCTGTAAGGTAAATTATGGTTTTGAGGGTGCAGCCATCACTCATTTCACACAGGACCCAAACTGAGACTCAGCTGAGCGCAGCCTTTTCCTTTGTTCTATGTCACTTTGGTTGCTGCTATGCCTTTCTCCATTTCATTCAGCACACCATGAAGACCTTTTGGTATATAAACTGATTTTCTCCTTCCTTTTTCTGTGCAGTTTGAGAGCTCTGTTGGGCCRTGAGTCATGTACACAAGGACAGCTGATCCTGAACACCACAATCCTGAACAGAATCCACTTTTGGCAGCTTTCCCCTTCCACCCCCTTCCAACCAGTCACATCTCTGGGCATCCCTCTTTGAAAATGCTGAGCCCTGAAAAGTCTCAGCACTTCCCAGTTCTGGTTTGGTTTTTTTTTCTAACTCGTGGCTTCTCTTCTGAAGCGTGGGGCAAAAGTGAAAGAAGAAGGAAAAAAGACTGATTCAGGTTTTGGCAGCTCTCCCCTCAAAGAAGAATACTCCCTGCCTGCACATCAAAGGGAATTTTTAGCCAACCAGAGYAAAGAGTCAAAACAACAAACACAAACAATTACCACCAAAAAAACTGCAGCACTCAGTGTTTTTTTTCTGACTGCTGCTACTGGCTCAGGGAGAGGCTGGTCCGTTGCCTAATCTTGAGCTCAGAAAAAGACAGAACATCTTTAAGTTTRCAGGGCTATTGGCCCAGCTACAGAGGATAGGATTTCCCCCAAGCCTTTGCCCCAGGCTTGATGATGACTCCAAAAACAACAATTCGCCTTGAGGTTGGAAATTTTGCCTCAGAGAGATCTTGTTCGTGCTCTGTAAATGATACACAAATATTCATCTGTGGGGATGGAAAATGCTTAAAAGCTCCATAAGKCAGTGAATGAGACCAATCCCGGGATGGAAATAATTTCCTTAATTCCTTGCAGAGCTGCTGTTGCTCTCAGCCATCTGTTGGCTGGGAAGTCACTGATAATCCACGGAGCAGCCTGGGCRATGAAACCTTCCGAGAGCAGAGATCACAAAGAGTTCACTCATTGCTCTGCAGTGGAAAAGGAAGTGGGTGGGGGAAAGGAATGAAAGGATGAAACACACAGCTCGTACCCTCCTGGCTTCAGGATAAAAGCTTTGCTCTAAAAAAAAAAAAAAAAAAAAAAAAAAAAAAAAAAACAAAAAAAAAAAAAAAAAACACAACCCTGGTAATCCCATACTTCCTTGATGAGAAACGGTGTCCAAGATGCGCAGTCAGAGGAGCCCAGAGGAGCAGCAGAGTTCTGTGAGCCCAATTATCTTCATTATGTGCTAGATTGTCATTTCAGTCCCACAGGTCTTCCCTGGTCCTGGGGATTTTCCAAGCAGCCTGGTCAGGATGTTGAGAACAGTTTTTGACAGTGGCTAACTGAACACTGCAAGAAAAGCAGCAGAGATGCCTTTCCCACCCATTCAGGGAATGAATTTGCACCAAAACTCTGCCCTGAGGTCTCACCGTGTCCCGTGGTTCCCAGACTCAGTGCTGCCTTTTGCCCTTCATGTTTCAGGATTTCATGTTGTTCATATTTGTTTCAGAACTCTTTGCAGACTAAGAGGGGCATGAGCTTCTCCTCTGTGCACTTCAGGAATGCAAAAAGAACATGTTTATATCGTGTGTAGTGCAGACGTGAAAAATATGTCTAAACCTAGCATTCACACTGTGGAAAATTAGGAAATGAGTAAATACAAAACAGGAACTAAGAAAAATTTGTGTTCAGCCGCTCCTCAGGACTGCAGCTTGAAAAAGAAAGGTTTCAACTTACCTCCAAGCCAGTGCATTTGATTGTAACTCTGGGAGAGCCTGAAATTGTTAGCATAACTTGTTCAAATATTTCAGGTTCCTGCCTTGTCTTAGTCATGACATGGAAAACCACTTGAAATCTGTCTATTCAAGTGTCTCACCAGCTGAGATAGKCCTGATGAAAACCACATTTATGAGYRCTGGTACAGCCTGAGCTCAGCCCTGCCTGCTGAATTGCAGCCCTGGCATGTGGCCGTGTCCAGAACCCACTGACCACCACGATCCCCCTGGGCTGAGRGGTCTGGCCAGGCAGCACCAGGGATTCCTTGGGGAAAATGTGCACTGAGGAGCTGCCATGCACCAGTAAGGGGACAAACTGACARGTTCTGCTTGAAATTTGTATGGCAGAATAAAGGAAAAAGCCCCCRTGTCAGGACACCCCACTGAGGGCAGCTCCAATGTTTGCCCAAGATATGGAACAGGGGATAATCCCCAATCCCAGCCCTGACCCTACAGCTCTGCTTTTCTCAGCCAGCCCTTCCTGCTGGGAAATTTGTGCAAGAATTTGTGCAGAATTTTGTGCAAAGTGAATCAAGAGCCYGAGAGTAACACTGGGTTGAATTTAGGATCCGTGACCTCTGGAAAGGCTGGAGCAATAGGAGAGAGGGGCAGGAACACGGGCAGAGCAGCCATCCCCAGGTTCAGCAGTGCTGGTCACTGCTTCTGCAGGACATGTCCTGTTTTTGGGTGATGCTGACAGCACAGCAGCCATCCCCAGGCTCAGTGTGATGGTCACTGTTTCTGCAGGACATGTCCTGTTTTGGGGTGATGCTGATGGGCACAGCAGCCATCCCCAAGCTCAGTGTGCTGGTCACTGCTTCTGCAGGACGTGTCCTGTCTTTGGGTGATGCTGACAGCACAGCAGCCATCCCCAGGCTCAGCAGTGATGGTCTGTGCTTCTGTAAGACATGTCCTGTCTTTGGGTGATGCTGACAGCACAGTTTGGGTGATGCTGACAGCACAGCAGCCATCCCCAGGCTCAGTGTGATGGTCACTGTTTCTGCAGGACATGTCCTGTTTTGGGGTGATGCTGATGGGCACAGCAGCCATCCCCAAGCTCAGTGTGCTGGTCACTGCTTCTGCAGGACGTGTCCTGTCTTTGGGTGATGCTGACAGCACAGCAGCCATCCCCAGGCTCAGCAGTGATGGTCTGTGCTTCTGTAAGACATGTCCTGTCTTTGGGTGATGCTGACAGCACAGCAGCCATCCCCAGACTTTGCAGTGATGGTCACTGCTTCTGCAGGACATGTCCTGTCTTTGGGTGATGCTGGCAGCACAGCACAGGCAGGAGCAGCGAGGGAAGGGACACCTCCGGCCTTTTCCTGCACTTTGGTACCACCAAGCACGGTCAGGAGCTCGGGAGCGCTATCTGCTGTAGAATACCAGCTTTCCAAGCAGTTTTCTTATGCACAGGGATGCCCCGGGTTTTGCCCAGAGCAGCAGCAAGTGACGAACTCTGCACTGACGAACAGAGCCCTTTCAGCGCAGCGCTGTGACCGAGCTGCATTTATTGCTGACAGAAAGGTCGCCAAACTCATCGCATTTGAGGAAGCAGCAACTGCSACCTTTCCCTCTTAGGATTCTTACTCCAAACCCCAAATCCCTCGGCGTTATTCTGCCCAGAGCCAGGAGAGGGTGCTGCTAAATCTGGCGATGTTCCATTGGAGCCACCACTCCGCCTTTCCCCGCTCCTCCCCGCCCCAAAACCCCTCGGAACGGGGCTCTTTTTTAACTCCTGGATCCGAAGGATCTGCAGGCTGAGCGGTCGGGATGTAACAATCCTGGTGAGAAGCATCTTTAATTCCAGCCGGATTGGAACGGGCAGGATTGCGGCTGCCGAGCATCCGTGTGGATAAAGGATGCTCCAGGGCTCGCTCGGAACCGCGGCTTTGCCAAAAACCCTGGGACGGGAGCTGTGCTGGGTACAGAACAAGAGGAACGGCCTCTGGCACAGGAAAACCATCGCTGTCATGTAAACAGGGCTCCTGCTTTGTTAGGGGAGGCATTCGGCAAAACCGGGGGGGTTTGTAAGACTGGCTGCCCTGTTTATAACCCTTTTCATCCCAAAACAATCAATAAAGGGAGAATACACCACTCTGCAGCTTTGAACCCATATTGGAATGATATGGATTCTCTCTGCATCACAGAGATTAGTTTTTAACCCAGGTGCAAATGCTACCCACTTAAAATAAGTCTGAACTTTCAGTATCAAACCAAGCACAATCCAAACCTTTGTCCAAACACAATCATTAAATTTTTTTTCTCTCCCTCCCTCTGATTTTTCAAACCTTCCTCCTCCACACCAATGGGCTGCCAAGTGCAATGGAAGAAACGCAACAGGAACAGAAGAAATGAGAGATGGAGCAGGTACGAGAAGCATCTTCTGCTGTTCAAGTGAATTTCTGCAATTTGGTCAAACCACAGCCCCATCAGAAGTGAGCCCCACTGTGCCACCCCTTCTTCCCAGAAAAAGAATAAAAACAACATAATGGGACAGACTGTAAAGTGTGTCAACAAGGACTGAGAGCAGAAAATGGGGTAACTGTGGGACACGAAGCAATTTCGACTCAAACTGTGCTCAGAACATGAAAGACCTGTCAGCACACAGATTTGGTKYATSTGTAGRATATTTTTATTTTTTAGCTGAGAAACACAAAATAGGGTAGAGTTTAAGGCATGCAGTCAGGCATGGGAGTTCTCTTGCTTGTTCTGTGTGCTCATGCCCTCGGTGTGAGCTCTGTGAGAGGAGCAGATCCTATCTTTAATCTCTACACTGATCCACTCTGGGGTTTGATGCAATGCTCACAGCTTTTCCTGTAATGCAGGATTTACTCACAGGGAAACCCTTCTTCTTCTGTTTTGGGATTTGTTCTGTGCCACGTGGAGCAAGTGTCACCTATTTCCAGAAATAAGTTTGTGATAACACCAACTTTCCCCACATATCCATGTGTTGTTATTGCAGACATTTCCTTGCATGGTTTTAATTTGGTTGCACTTTTACTGCAAAATACAGATAATCTAATGAATAGAAAAAACATCTTTGCTTTCTGCACCTTGCAAGTTTACTTGGTGTCCTAAAAAAAAAAAAAAAAAAACCAACCCAGACACCACAAAGACAACAGCCCAAACAACTTTTTACCTCTGAGGTAAAAGTGCAACCCCAAGGTCCAAAATTTTGTGGGTTAGGGTACATTAGATTAGAAACATAATAGGTATTGAAATAAATATCATAGGCATTGAGATGCTGCTAAAAAATACATTTCCATTTGGGTAACTTYTGTCTTTTTTGTGGCRGTGTAAAGCACCTTTGTGTCTACTSGTRTGGGGCATTTGCTCTTGATAAACAAAGACAGTACCTGATAGGGAACATATTGCCAAAGAAAATTTTGTTTACAAGCAGCTACAARCTTATTTTCTCTCTTTAATGCCCTACCTTTGTCCATACGGCTCCTGGTTTCATTTTTTATTATCACTGTTTTAAAACATGATAATCATAGACTCTTGTCCCTCTCTCGTGCATTTTTAAAATCAATATGATTAAAAATGAATCTACTGTGCATCCATGTGATGAATGTGGTAAGAGCTCGTTCTGCATTTTTCCCATGAACGTCCCCATGCTGATTTTTTCAATATCACCAAGACTTCTGCAGCAAGCACTGGGGGAAAAAAAAAAACAAATCCCAAGGCCTAAACTGGTTAAGCTGCCCATTCCCAAGGGCTTCAATGCTATCAGAAGTTCTGTCCTCTGCTGTGGCAGGCATTAAGAGTTTGCTATTACAGTGGATTTTCAAAAGAAGTAATCCTGAGATTACGATTTGTTGGCAAGTCCAGAACTGGATGGTCCCATTTCCTTGGCCCCATCAGAAAAAAAAAAAWAATAAAAAAAGATTCATGCACATGTTTAGTTCATTCTTATTCAGTAAAACATTGAGATACAGCTTAAGCAGGAGGTCAAATACCACTGAAAGTGCCTGAAGTAATAKGACTTCACCATTAAATCTTCCAAGAGCATAAAAAGAGCTTTAACTCAGTGCATAAGAATTACACCTTACAACATGCATGTGGAGGCACTGACCTCTTCTCTGATTTCCTAAAAATGAACAGGGCACGGAGCTCTGGGGGAAGAACCACAACTTCCATCCCCACTTTTACACCTAATGAGGAAAAAGCCCAAGGAAACAATTTTCTTTACACAATGCCTGCAAGAGTGGCTCAGAGTTAAAGGAAATCATCAAGTCTACAAGTGAGTTTGCATTCTCAAAATTGCAAACTAGACTAAGATTTTAAACATTGATAGTGACAGCAATGTATGAAACATATCTGGCCTTTCTGACAAAAAAAAAAAAAAAAGTACAAAATGTTCAAAAGCTAACTGTGCATTTAGATTAGCCAGCACATAAACAAAAGTTCAAGAAAAGCAGTGCAAAAAATGGAAGAGTAAATAATGAGTGGGAAACAGCCAGACTACAGCTGCAAAGCTTGTAAATAGAGCRAGGAACTAAATACACTTTCCCAGCTTAAACTGCAGTTTAGTAAGGCTGCAGTGAATTCATCAAAAAATATATGAACACACGAAAAACTGTGGGCCAAAAATGTGCTTTGMAGGGCTGACACATTCCCAGGACGATGTGGAAAGTTCACTGGGAGCACCTTCCTTTACCAGCCTGACATTTTATCTCTGACTGAGATAAAATGAAATAAATTCCCCTTCCTGTCAAGATGTGAGAATGGCTAAACCCCCAAACCAACTCCCTGTTCCACTGCAGCTCTCCAAAGTCGCAATGAGGAAACCCTGAAATACTTCTGAGGGGCAAACAAAGCTCAGCAGGGAAAAAAATGAGTAAAACAAAACCAGATTTGGTTTTTTGGTCCTTTGCCAAAGCACTGCTGCTGCACAGGGCAGGATTGTTCAGGAAACCTGGGAGGGATCAGATGTTTCCTGATAGCAGCATCTGATGTCACCCTGACAGGAGGGAGCTTTGCTCAGATCAGTGTGCCCTGAGTGGGATATTTTGGGATATTTGCTGTCACTTTTCCTAAAGGCAGTCAGGAGCTCTTCAGAGATTCTGTCTCTTTTCAAGCTTTTGTTCCCAAGGGAACAGAGGTTATCCCATCCTCTCAAGGAGGTGATTGATTGTCTACTGCAAAATTTTGAAAAAGGGGGAAATTAAGRAGATGCAAAAATGAAAATCGTGACCAGGGAAGTGTTTTGGTTCAGTAATAAAGGCAAAGCAAAACAGATCACCCTGAAAGAACAAAATTACACAGGAAGGAATTGGATTCTACTGAGCTGAACCCTGAAAAATGCTGTCCCTTTATGATTAAATTTGCTATGAATGACTCACCCACGAGCTAATGAGAAATGTTCTCCTCAGTAGCTTCTCCCAGCAGTTCAGGATGTAAAAGCTAGTCACAAATAAAAATTACAAGGCAAAAATAAAAACCCAACCACGCTGTCTCCCATTCCTCACAAAAGAAAATACAAGAACTGAAAGCATTTTAACTTGTGAAMTATGGAAGGCAATTCATGCTGTGGAGGAATACCTCAGCCTTTTGGCTAGGAAACAGTCCTGGTTAATAGCTATCATGCAAAAACAATTAGTCATTCRAGCAATTAAGAAGGTAAGTATCTCCTAAAAAGGTTTTGAGCTTTCCAAGCCCTAAATGCAACTGCTATAAACCTAGATTGTTCCTGAGTGTAATTTCCTTGTTGTATTGCCTCTCCTGAAGAGATCCAGGGTGTCTCATGTGTTGTAAATTCTTGATGCTCTTTTGGCTGCAGTCTGAGCCTCTGCTGAGTTCTCCTCTTGCTCCTCACTCTTCTTGTGGTTTAGGAATATGTCTGACTTSAGGAAGCGGCTGTAGCTGTCGTATTTCATGAGRTTGAATATCTGGGAAGAGGTGRRGGAAAAGAACACAAAACAAATGACMRAAGGAAAATGAGATTTTACACGAGAAGGACGCATTAACTCAAATCTGCTTTTGCTCTGTTTGTACTGGAGCATTACTGCAGAGCAAGACATTAGAAAATATATTTCCAGCTCTCCAAGGGGCTGTGCGTGGCAAATATTGTAGGTTTCATGGTAAGAATGTCCACATTAATTTAAGAATCAGATTATAGTTTTGACAACAACCAGTTTTGCACACCTAACACTGCAGGAGAAAAAAATAAAAGCTACAACTCTTTTGCAGCTATCTGAATACAAGTGGTTGGGAGAGAAACCTGGAATCTGTTCAGGTGTCAAGGTCAGGACTGTATTTTGCTTGGTCTTGAAACAGAGGGGAAGGGAAAAAAAGTAAACTTCAAAACTATAATTGAGGCAAAACCAAAGCMAGCATCACCCTCAATCTGTTATTTCACTGGTGGAGCCTCTCTGAGTCATCCTTCAGGGCTGATTCAATTTTATGATACTCAACCGAATTTCCAAGACAAATCTCTGGATTCTGACCTGCAGATGTGGCCAATTCATGATGGATAACTCATCTTTACCCTCACAGGCCTCACTTGTAAATGATAGAGCAACCAGGTAAATCTTTGTTAGCAGGAAAAAAAAGTCTCAAACTGCTTTTTCATTCCATTTCACCCTCGAGGAACCTGGACAGACACAGGCAAACATCCAGAACTTGACTGTTCTTGTCCGTGCATTTGCTGAAGTAGCTCCCTTACAAGTAAATTACATGGTGGATTTTACTAACCACTATTTGTTTACATATTTAAATACTTAAGTAATGTTAAAAACAGTGGAACTACTCTTTTTTTTTCCCAAGAATTTCTCTTGTTTGGAATATTAAAAAAAAAAAATCCCAGCACTCACTCTGTGTAGACCCTGATCCACGCAAACTCAAATTATACCTCATGGCACTGGCTAAATGAAACATAATTAAATTTATCCAACCAGCTCAAGGGAAAACAATTGCAAGGAAGACATTTCCTGTTAAAACMTCTTGTCAGCACTGAGAACTTAGACCCCTCTTGTCCCTGGTATCACTKAAAGCATCTCCCAGAGAGAAAGAGCACTGAAGATCAAAATCTTCTGCAGTCTGGGCAGCCAAATGCAGAGCAGAGCTGAAAATCACGTGCCAGAGCAAAGCCCTCTGTTCCCCCTCCCTCCCTACTCTCCTTTTCTTTGTGGGGCAGGAAGATTGACCCCACAAATGTTTTGAAACACGTGGAATTCTGTGAACCCTCTAACATGGCTGCATTCAGCACAAACAAATATCTTGGGTGCAGTTAAGGTCACCCCATGAGCCCCAGGCCCCACCAGCATCCCCAGTTCAACCAGGAGCTCTCTGCAGAATTAAAGTTCTTGTTACCAGCACAGTCTGGCTTTCCAGCTCTGCTTTTTTCTCCTTCAGACACAGGGTGCCAGCAGTGGTTAACCCTGCTCTTCAGAGAACAAATTACCCCACTCTTCGTAACTTTATAAGGATTGAAAACTGGAGAGGATTGTAACTCTTCTGAACCATTATCTAACAGCAATAAACAGTAGCTTCAAGCACTGCACTCTTACAGTGACCCATAAATGCTCTGCATTTGTTTCTAAAAGCTCACAGAATTTCTTCTCACACCAGTGGGATTCCTCTGCCACAGTCCAGCACATTTCCAGCTCAGGTGTTATTAATCCTTGGCTCTCCATGTGTGTGCCGTTTGTAAAACTGCAAATATTTTAASTCCAACATTCTCTCCAGCTTCACTCTTGCAGTCACCCACCCTGAACTGTAGTGCTTTCATCTGTCAGAATATTTCTTTCCCTTCCCCCAAGTCAGAAGTTTTTCCACRAAAAACTCTTTCTCTTCACAGGGAAATCGAGTTTCAGATATTTCCMCTGCTAATATCTCAGAGCCTGACTGAAAAACAGCAGAGCCTTTGCTCCTCAGACCCCTCCAACTGCCCAGCTAATGTATCCAATTCCTGATTGAAATGGGCTGAAAACTCTATTTAAATCACTGTGACATCTCTCCACAAAAGGAAAGAGCCAAGTGGAAAATACAGGTAGTCCTGAGGATGGCACAGGAATTAAAAATAGAACTGCAAGTGCTGGAAAGCTGCAGATAAGAATGACTCACTTCATAACTTATGCTTTGAAATCAGCTAAATATCAAGAAAATCTACCACCCAAAGACATGCCTGCAAGATTTTGAATTTCTACCAGACCTCCCAAGTTCTTTAGGGAAAAGGCAAAGCAGAGACCAAACTCCTCTAAGTCTTGCACATTASAGAAGAGGAGGATTTTTCAGAAAATTGTGTTATACTCATATCAATACAAATACCAAAGCAAAGCAAAATGAAGAATCYTGAGCTCTCAAGGAAACCAGTGGCAACTACAGAAACAAACATCAGCAATGACTCAGAACGAGTGAATACACAGGAAAACGAAGGCACTGAGCTCGCCAGGGTGATTCTCCAGCTGCCCACGCAGGAACCCAGCAGAAAACTCCATMCAGTTTTCCTGGGAAGTCCTGAAGTGAAATTAGAATGATTTCATTGAGTCTCTTAGCTAATTGGTCATAATTAGAGAGGGCCAAAAGCCTGGAATATCCCAGAGCAGCTGCATTAATATCCCTGACATGGAAGCAGCTCAGCTCYGTGCCCACATGTTCAATCCATGCCATGGCAAGAGAGCAGGGTTCATTAAAACCAGACAAAAATGAAAGAAATTGTGTTTTTGAAATAAATAACTTTACCTGGTCCTGGAGCTTCTGAAACATGAGAGGGTGAGGTGTCTCCAGGATGGTCTCACTCAGACGGGACTGCCCTTCCACGTTGACTTGGGAAGAAGCTTTACTGGACAGGAAGGTCATGTAGATTTCTTTAGCTTTCTCTTGCATCTGCAAAAGGACATATTTATTTAAAGAATTATTCTTTGCATCAGGTAATGTTTTGTTGGAGACTGCTCTAGGTCACTMCTTGAGGCTCATGTCCCAAAACGAAAGCATTACAAAATTACAAAAAATAAATGTGACAAATACACATAGATCAGCCTGTTTGTGTATATTCATTTATAATATGTGCATATTCATTTATAATGGAAGAGAAATACCTCTGCAGGCCAAAATCTACACTGGTATTAGTGAAAGACACCAGTATGGAGCAGATTGTGATGTTTGTATCACAGAAGCCAGAGAAAAACTGCTCAGAATCATCAAATAGATCTTGTCTTCACTATTTAGAAGACTCTTTTTCCTAACAGATCATCAGTATGGGCAAGAAACCATGGAGGAAAAAAAAACCTGGGAACGTACTGCAAGGGAAAACTGAGCAAAGTTAGTGTATAACCCACGTTCCTGTCAGATAACAYTGTCACACCACATTCTTTGTTTTAACCATTGCCTCAGAGCAGCTCACCTACAGCACTGAATGATTAAAGAAACCACCAGCAGCTTGGCTAATTGATAAAGATAAGATCCTCAAGAGCCCCTGAGAGCGGATAAATAAGGGTGGGACCTGCACAAAGATGTTTTTTGGCATTTGTCCTGATTTCTGCTCGGCAGAGCAGTGACAGTGATGACATCTTGAGCCCACCAGCATCTTTAAGCTCCAAAGCAATGGGTGGCCCCCATYCCCTGAAATGCAGTGCAAGCTCCCCTCAACCAGAAAGCTGAATGAGAAAAGCAGAGAGGGAGAAGAGACCCAAGCCAGGCAAGAAACAAGCCCTGCTGCTGCAATCTGAGCTCTGCATGCTGAACAGCAGCCCCAGGCCATCCCAAATCCTGTGAACTTCCAAAGAGCAGCCACAGCTCCAGACCAGCTCCAGGGCTGGGCCTTTGATGGGAAGGGGCTTGAAGAAGGAAGTGTTTAAACCCTTGCCCATGAAGGAGTCTCAGAATTACTTCCATGCTTTACAGCTGAGATGMATTTACATTTTGGGATCATTGGCAGAAAAGCTGCATGTGTTAGACATTCAGGAGGCCTGAAGAGCTGCCTCTCTCACTGCTGAAGGGGACACCCATTCTCCAGGATTCCTTTTTAAAGCTCATTATTCAGCTGGTGGGTAGAGCATTACGTGTCAGGTGCATTAGGTCACAAWGAATTGTTTTTTAACAATTTCTAACTATTCCAGTCTCACAGCTCAGGGAGGGCTGGGTCAGCCACTCCTGCTCKAAATGAGCAATTAATGCAGTGGATCAGAGATGTGGCTGCTACAAGTGGCAGAGTTAATGTCCTAATGCAGGCACAGCAAAGGGGCCTTCTGCTATCATTGCATGAGCAATTGTGCTGCCACTCCCACCTAAATGGCTTTAGAACCTGCTCTCCAATTCCCACCACACTTCAAAAAGGGGCAAAGACTGAAAAAAAAAAAAAGTGAAAAAAAATTACCCTCGTACTGAGTCAGTGAGAAAACTGCAAGAGAAAAAAAAAGGGAGAGGAAAAGCAGCACACACACCGAAGGAAAAGCTGCAGTAAGTGCTCAAAAGTTATCTGCTGTGCTTGAACAGCCAGGATGCCCTTTCTGCTGGCTGACCAGGGCAGATGTGGAGCAGCTTGGCCAAGGACACAGGAGAAACCTGGGCACTGCAGAGAGAGGGCAGAGGAAGGCTGGAGAGGAAACAAAACTGGAAGTAGCTGTGAGGAAGTTTCAAGAGCATGGAGGGGAACAAGGGGACTGTGTGGGAGGCTGGTGAAACAGGGAGCCTCTTTGGATTCTGTGGGGAAGARTAACAAAGAAAGGAAGTGAAAGAGCAGTGGCAGGGGCAGGAGGCCATTGGAGAGACACAGGGGAGCTGGCTTTACGGCAGAGGAGAAATTTGGAAATGCACGGCTGAACCTTACAGGTTCTGCTGCAAATAGAACTGTTCTGCCGTGCTTCAGCAGCTGATTAACTGCAGCTTGTAATTTGCTTTAAAAAGAAAGCACAGCTGAGGCTGCCAGTGCGCTCATACACCCCCAAGTGTCACTCAGCAGAGCCAGGTTCAGGTGGAGGAGGCTGAGATTGTCCCTGTGCAGGCACTGCCATTCTCTGCTCTGCATCAGCCTCAAACTGGGGACTCAGCTCTGAAACTGAAACAGCTCCTGAACCGGGATCTCATTCCCAGGTGGTCACAAAAGGATTTCTGGCTCTCCTCAGCTCTGTCTGTGCACTGTCCCAGCGCCTGAGCCCCGTTCCCATTTGGAATCTCTGTCTACAGCACTGTCCCTCCCCACCTCAGTGGGTGCAATTTTCCTTCCCACTTCCTCTGCTGAGCTCACACTCAGCTCTGCAGCCCGTGTGGCTCCCAAATGAGGTGCCTGTGAGCCCCAGATGCTCCTCAGGCTGCCAGCAGCTCTGCAGAATTCCCCAGCCCTTCCAACACGGGAAGCGACAGAACAAACCCCTGAACGCACGGGACTGTGTTCTGGAATCATTCCCTACAAAACTCCAACGTGGATATTTTGGTGGGTTTTAGGAATAGATGAAAATACTCGCCGTTGCTGGAAGTGCTTATTACAATCTGTAATTTGTTTTTAAGGCTCAGCTGCAAGAGGAGAAACATTTAAACTCTGGGAAGCAGCATGACTGACACGTTGTTTACTTCATTAACAGTCACAAATGCAACAACATATGACTAACTCCARCAAAATATTTAAAGTTAAATTTTATTCACTCATCCCCACCACTCCCATTTCAATAATTAAGCACATGCCCTAACACGAGGGCCACATGGGTGGCACCAGAGCTCACTCTATGAGTGGACTTGACCTAATTGCTTTCTTAATCTTCACTAAACGTTAAAATTCAATTTTAACTTCAGTTTTAAAAGGAATMTCTGTGGGTTTTGTTGTTGYTTTTAAACAGASATGTGTCTTGAGCTGAGAAGTTTGAACTTTCCTGCTGCAAGGAGCTGGGCTGAACCCAGCCCACCCAAACCTGCCTGGTCCAGCGATGCTGTTTGCTCGCTGCCTCGCTCTGCAGAGGCCAAAAAACCTCCCCCAAATCATCCACCCTGATGGAACAGCAGCCTGGACAAACCAAACACTGCCCCAGGCTGGCACAGCRAGGACAGCCATCAACACCCCTGGCACGATGGTGCTTCCCCCACTGCTCACATGGTGCCTTTGGGCGAGTTTGAACTGAGCCCCAAGCCAGCACTCTGGTGTCAAATAATGAAAAGTCGATTTTATCCTTTAAAAATAGGGTGGGGGAGGGGAAATCCCATTCATAGAATCATGGCATGGTTTGGGTTTGAAATTCCATAAAAGGTCACCTAGTTCCAGCTGCCTGCAGGGACAGGGGACATCATCAGCCAGGTCAGACTGGTTTTGAGTGGGTCCAGGGACAGGGCATCAACCACTTCTCTGGGAAAGCTGTTGCAGTTTCACCATCCCACAGTAAAGAATGCCTTCCTTATATCTAATCTAACCCTGTGTTAGTTTGAAGCCATTCCCTGTGKCCTGTCCCTCCATCCCTTGTCCYCAGCCCATCTCCAGCTCTCCTGGAGTCCCTTCAGGCTCTGAGCTCTCCCTGGAGCCTTCCCTTCCCTTCCCCAGGCTGAACACCCCCAGCTCTCCAGCCTGGCTCCAGAGYRGAGCTGCTTCAGCCCTTGCAGCATCTCTGTGGCCCCCCTGGCCTCTCTCCAACCCAGATTAAATTGATATCAGCTTCATCTGACAAACAGCCCAGTGCCTATTCCCCTTTCTGTCTGGGAAAACAGCTTTAAAGAGAAGCAAATTACAAAACAACTAAAAGACTGTATTTGGCATACTCTGCTCACAAAAGGGATTTCTGCAAGAGCCACTTTCAGAAGAAAAACCCACGCTTCACGCTATCATAAACACTGGAAAGATTTCTATTTTTAGTGCTTTTCCCAGCTTTGTAAATGATCTAAACAAAGCCACCCATAAGCAGTAGCTACAAAGATTTACTGTAAGGCTGTGTCATCCTAAAGCACATTTATCCAGCCAGTTTTAATAATTTGGGCAGCACCAGGCTGAATAATTAACCTAAATAGAACCCAGTTAAGTCTCTGTCCCTTCATTTGGCAATTCACTGAAGGATTCTCTAAGCTCCTATCCCTGCACATCACTTTACCATTTTCTGTATGGCATCCTAAATTARGAATCTTAAATCAGCTAAAAATATGGAAATTGTTTAGCAAGGGGAAAATATGATTATTATCCCACTGAAAGCGTGGGACTTTAGAGAAAAGTCGACTGACTGGTTGTTCTTTCCTCAAGACTTTTTGCATTTGTGGACCTTAATGAAGGAGGGAAGCAGCTGAATACACAAAGCTAAAACTGCTAAATGTTACAAAGTTCACAGTCAAAATGAACATTTCCCTCTACTTGCAAAAAAATGGTATTGTTGTATTTTCATGGATTTTTCAGTACCAAAGAAATAGTTACCACTAAACCCGGCAGATTGTTTGGAGGGGAATGTTTTTTTCAGTGCAATACACAGGATATTTACAAAAAACAGGCTCCCCTCCCCAAAATACATTTTTTTGGAAAAACAGGGAATATTTAGTTTTTGTTGAAAATCTGCTGAGGAGCTGTTTCAGCTGACGATCTCTGACTGATCTTAAGGAATCCTGCAGTCAGGACACAGCCCCTTACACCTGCACTGCATCACCCMCCTGATTCCTATTCCTTGGCATTTCTGATGTTCCTGCAAGCACATATAATCTCATTTGGAAGAGGTTTAAGGGGTGTTTTACCCCTCTCATCTCCTCATGGTCCTAAAATGTGCCCTTTGGCAACAAGAGCTGTGCTTAGGTAAAAAGCAGAAAGATGGGATTTCAAAAAATAAAAAAAAAAAAGGGGAGTTTTAGGAGTCTGACTCTCAAGGACAGTGATGCTCACTTAGAGTTTTGAAATTACTTAATTTCATGCTCATAGAATCCTCCTCTTAAAGGGCAGGTAAATTTGAAATTTCTCAAGAAAACAACAAAACAAACACCAAAACTTTTTCAGAAACAAGCAAAATAAGCATGGTACATATTTTAGGCCTGCTTTTGTGGGCTTCAAAATCTAAAGGTGAAAGTGGATCCTGTTTTCCTGATGGATCCAAATGTAAACCAAGATCCAAGCAGTGGAAAAAAAAAAATACTGGAGGTGGATGGTTGCAAAATTTTCCAACAGAATATTTCCGACTAGAAAGATTGAGCTGTCATGAAAATGAAAATGCTTTGCAGGTATACATCAATTTGGATAAATATTTAAACAAAAGAGTTCAAACAGAYCCCTTTTGTTTTGTAACTTGTAATTTGATAAGGCAAAATGTTTCATTTTGGCGCTGTAAAATACTTTTGTTTGTGCCATCTGTTATTTTTATGTCCCACTAAAATATCACAGTGGTGTAAATTTCCATGGAATAGCTGCTATGCTTAAAAGAATTTCTGAATGAAATATGTTTATATTTGCAAACAAGATGATGCAACATCACTGCATGAATAAAACTTCTGCTACTCCCAAGCAACWACAAAAAGTTCAGTTTTCAAAACATGGGAAACTTGACAATTTCAGCACTTTGTTTTGATCTGAAATAGAACTGGCTTTGTTTCCAAACAATTCCATCACTGTGATTTTAGTGCAATTTCTTCAAATACATTTATTTGCATTTCCAAAAAGCACGTTATGCRACAGAGATGTTTTAGCTCCAGCTCTGCCACATAAACTTTGTCGACAAGTAAAATTTATTCAGAAAACATACCTGCTTTTTCCCCTGTGTTTTCTTAAATTCTTCACATGCTAGCCAGAACAAAACGTTTTCTTCACTGAATTCTTTCTTTAAAAATTCCTAGGAAAGAGAAAAACAAACACAAAAATGTTAGGATCCAATTTCTCAGCTGCTTTCCCCTCTTCCTGGAATAGCTGTTAGAACTAGAAGCTGCCTAAAATTAAACTTTACCACTGAATTTGTGCATCTGCACCACTGATATTTAACTCTGATAATATTCACTTTGAAAGCACATTCCAGAGGATGGTGGGCTRTATCTAATCTCAGACCACACCAGTAAATAACAGGAATAGTTKCTGCAGTCTCCCTTCAATAACTCGAGCATTTTTACAGCCACTGCTCAAAGAGAAATCCAAAAATATAGGAATTCATTGCCAGGTGAGTATAATGAACTATTTTTTCATGAGAGTCACAGATCATTTGGGATTCTCATGCAGAATCTCTGACTTTCGTAATGAGTAAAATTTCAACAAATAAAATTGTTTCTAAACATGATCATCAGTGGCAGTAAATTCACTTAAGCAAGCTGAAGCACAAGATGTAGCTGTGTTCTCTGCAGCATTTAAACACAGAACATTCCTCCAAAAGYGAGGCATGCTTTAAAAGGGGAAAAATGTACATTAAATTTATTTATGAAACATAATGACTGAAACTTTTAYAGCTCTGAGATCATCGGTTTTCTCTTTCAAGTGTTAGAAAATAGAGACGAAGTAATTAAATAGCACCAAGATTACTTGGGTATTTTTAAGAATTCAWAATCAGTGTTCTGTTAATTCTCTTTTCTGGCAGGAACCAGTCTGGCAGGAACCCACTGGATCAGGTTATCAGTATGGCATGGCAAAAGCACTTTCAGGTAGGCAGCTCCTATTCTTTATTCCTATATCTAATATGGCAAGAAGGCCTCAAAACACCAACTCACCACCCTCACCTAATTAAACTTCAAGCCATTTTGAGCTGCACCAGCCCACACTTTGTAGTAAACTGAAAGGGAATATTTTCAGTAGAGCTGCTAAACACAGAGCAAGAGCCCCAGAGTGATCAGATTGCTCCTGGTAACTCTGCTTAAGGACAGAGTGTGAGAACCCAGAACCCGCGACCTCGGTGACAAATCACGCCTGGCAGGAGGGAGCAGAGCTCAAGGACTGCAGCTCATCCAGCAGGAACTTGTAAATCCTCCCAAGAGAGGAGAGATCCCGTTGGGAAGATGCAGCCACAAGTCCTGGACGTGCCTTTTGAGCTCAGAGGACAAGAGGTGTCCCCTGAGAAACTCAGCCCAGAGGGATGTGCACCTCTGCTCATCCCTGCCACAGCTGCACCCTTCATGCTGAGGCTCATCCTGCTTTAAAATCTGTGGATTTTTTAATGTAAAATCCATATTTAATATAGCCACCCTAAAGCGTTKCACTCCCTCGGGGTCCTCGAGGAGGCTCTCCAGTGACGTTGCCCATTTTGAGGTTCCTTTCAAGGCCTGGTGGCTGCTGCTTGGGTGGCCCTCGCTGTCATTTATCTCTGGGAGAAAAAAAAAAAAAAAGAATTGATAAAAAACCAGCATCTTTAGAAATGACAAATATCAGTCACACGRGTGCCTCCCCCATTTCCCCCCTTGATTTCAGATGCTCTCTTTAGAGGAAACACCAWAAAACTGAAAATAAACACACACAGACACACTTGAATTCTGCTTTGCCTGTAAGGAGGCAAAAATTCTTCACAACCACATAACTCCTCATGTGAGGAGACTTTGACACTGTTTTATAGCAGTTTCAGCACCTCTTGCCTGTGGAACACAATGACCACAGCCCCTATTTTGCTCTGGCATTGTTGGCTTCTCTAAAGYGACTCCTGGTCAGTCACACACATGTGAAATTTATTTTTAAGAGGAGAATCATCACAGGAGGCTGGAGGTTGGGTAAAAGCAGAGAGAGAAAGAAAAATAATGCTTTGTTTAGCAGGAGAACCAGTCCAAGAGATGAACTCAGTCAGACAGGAGGAAAGACACCCAGCAGAAAAGCCTCACTCCAAGTGAACAAGRTTTTGGGCAAGAAGAGGATTTTACTGTTTGTTTCCAAGCCCACTTAAATTCTCCTTTTACAAGGTGTACTGCACATCYAATCTGCCAGCCAGCCTCCTCACAGACAGCAGAGATGGAATACAATTTCCATTTTCTCTATCCCAGGGACAAGTGCATTTCATTCAAGGCGGGTGATGGCAAAAGAAAAAAAAAAAAACCTGTTTGCTGGCTACCCTTAGGAAAACTTATGACTTGGAAAAACTCCAGGAAGGCTATTGCTCMTCTGAAAAACTCTAACACAGAGATGACGTGCTCAGCCTCCTCTCCTCTCACACACAAAATGCCCTGGGAAGGCAGAGGAGGGAAGTCAGAAGGACACGAGCTGCTCTTCAGGTCACTACACACCAGAGAGATGCACAAAACTCTTACTGCAACCAGGAGAGCTTCTATTTATAATTCCTTCATTTCTCCCTGCCAGCTGACTAGAAATCTGGATCTGGCTAACTTTTGCTTAAGCTGTTTTTAAAAACCCTTCTTTCACCTTAAAACTAATCCTCACTAAGTATCTCAAAGAACAATCTATAAATAAAATAAATAAATAAATACAATTTWAAAAAATATAAATAAATATAAATAAATAAATATACACACTAGCAGATGCCCTTTCCAGCTGTAACTGGAAATAATGCCAAGGTTAAAGTCCTACAGAATATTGGTGTGAGAGCAAAACCTCCTGAGCTTTGGTTGGGTAAGTACCTGTGGAGTCTGTTTGTTTTACCAACTGTTCTAAATGAATGAACATCTCTTCTGCCTGGATAGAAGAGGGGGTTTGTATCAAAAACAGTCTGCTAGTTTAAAGGTCAGGAGCCAGAGCCTGAGGATTGTGCCCAAACCACAACTGAGAGCTCACACACGAGCACAGCGAGTTTCCTCTCACTTGGTGCRAAAGGATGTGGTTTTTGATTATCACTTGAAAATTTTATTTTAGAAACCTGACTCGAAGCATTTGGGTGCCTAATCTCAATAAAATCTGTGAGATTTAAGTGGCAATGGCCAAGCATATTGCAGAGGAACACAAAAACCTCTGAGAACTCCAATCTTGTGATGATGACGCTCACSTTGGGGCGGAATGGGAGCTCTGTGTGTGCAGCTGCAGAGCCAGGCCGTTCATTCCCTTATTTAACACATGGTTTAGCACACAACAGAACAGGGTAACATTTTATTTCCARTGTTCCTTTCCCAGCCAAATCTGATGTGGATATTAATGATTACTTTGAAAAGCCTGAGTTTCAATGAGCCAGCGCAGACCCAGGACCCTGAGAACCTAAAAACSAGTTCTGGTGAGCAAAGGATGGAACAAGTGCTTCCACCAGCCCAGGACACACCTGCTGCTCTCCTGCTGCTCTGGCTGATCTCCCATTTTGCTGCTGGCCATTTCTGTCCTCCCTGATCATCATTTTCCCCAGCTTCCTCTCACTTCCAGCCTGCCAAGCACAGCTCAACTCCATCCCTCCATTTGTGTTCTCCCCCATTCCTTCTTGTCACCCTTCAAACCCTGCTCCCCTTTTCCCTGAATTCTCCTCCTAGAAACAAATCTGGCTTTGAAGGATGAGATACACAGCTTGTTCCAAGTGTCCATTCTGGTACAGGACACTGTCACTCTGTTTCCTCACTGAACCAGCTCCCCATATCCTAAAAAGCACCGTGGTACCGAGGTGAGTGTTGTCTGTCCATTGCAACCCTTCCATTTCCCCCTTGCCTCACTTATTCAGGTTGGGATGTCCCCAGAGCAGAGGCTGTGGGATGTTTCAGGTGCTGGGCAGCTCTGGGTGACCCCAGAGGGKCAATCCTCAGCTCCCAGCACTGTCCCTTGTCCCCAAGGCTGGGGACACCAGGATGAGCACCCTGAACCCCCCCTGTTCAATGTTCCTCTGCAACCACCACGAAACATCAGCATTTCCCTTCAGCACAAACATCAACGGGCTGCACACGATGCATGACAGTAGGAAACACCCTGAAATTTTATGGGGATATTAAAACTGCAGGGTATTTTTATTATATCCCATTAAATATGCCATCACCAACACTTGTTCTAAGACAAAAGTGACCCAACTCCCCCCACTCCAGTCAGGATCATAACTTCCCACTCCTCATGCTGGTTTCTTGGAGCAGATTTGATGTGCGATTTCTGCAATTTTTTTAAGAGCTTAAAACACAGGGAAGAGGTTTTCCCTACAAATGACTCCAGAAGCTGATCCCCAAATCCATCTCATTACTAAATTACCTTAAAAATGATACTTTTGCTGAGGTGCAAATTAATKAGGCTGAAACAATTTATTTGAAGAGGCAATGCAGATCCTCCTGGCACATATTTGCCCCTGATACATATAAAAACCTAACTTTCTCCTGTTAAATTCTTCTAGTGACAAAGTTAGGTGATRCACCCTTGGAAACAACAAGCTCGACACCATTGTCTAACAACAACCAAAGCGTGCATACATTTGTATAATCATTTAAATGAGGAAGGCAGACATTTGCTGCTGCTGCTGCTGAAAACTGGGAGATAATTCCCTGCATCAAAAAGGGCATTACAAAATGGCAGTTCCCCCACCAATATTTCTGTAAGAGCAACACACAGAACGTGCATCAGACGACAAACGGGCTGMCTGCATTTCTTGCACTACAGCACATTAATTATGTTATTACACGCTAATTACATTCCAGAGCAGAGCTTGCCTTGTCTTTTACACGGGTTAGGAACCAAGAGGCCGAGAAAGGCAGCAARGCAAACACAGCAGAGCACAGTTGCGAGAGTTTCTGCTGAAGCAAACTTTCCACTGAGTTGGAAATCTCTGCAGAGACACAAGCGCTCGCACGGCGGGCGGAGAGCAGCCAGCTGCTCCTACCAACGCAGCAAATGATTGAGTGCTTCTTTTAACAGCACCATTCTTCAGAGCACTCCCTACTAAGRCAGCACTCTGGAGCGTTATTTTAGAGGGAAATCTCAGAAAAGCCGCCTTCCCCATCACACAAAAGCGCTGCAGCAGCGGGCTGCGGATAAAGGCTCTTTGTGAGCGGCAGAACGGTAAGTGCAGCACTAATAGCATCGCAATTATCAACTGAAAGAGCCATCAAAAATGCCAAATATTTGCATCTTCCAAACAGGAACTTGGACTGGAATCGCAGGAAGAGTCAATACCAGCGATATATACAACTTTGCAGGTCAGAACTCCCACTCCCTGCCCTTGTTTTTGACAAGCACGAATAAAATAACCCTGTGGGAACCCATCAACCGGAGTGATTCAGACACAGCTAATTGARTTAGACACGCTGATCACTCTGCTTTCCAGGGGCTCTGCACTCTACAGCGGTTCCCGAGCTGCTGTCAGTCCCCAGCTGTTGATACCGTGGCCTTTGTGGCCCCAAATCGAGCAGCACCGCTCCACAGCTTTCTCAGAATCCCGCTGAACGCATCCATCCCTTCCAAAACACCCATTCTGCCGACCCTTCCCGCACAGCCCCTGCCAAACAACAGCCACACCAACACTCACGGTGACAAAAGCATCACGCAAACAGCACATTCCTTATCCTGTGTCTAACCATTCATGTGCAACAAGAAAAGCTGCTTCCATTTCTTCGTGAAGAACTTACAGACCGCGCCTCCCCTCATCTACCTGGATCTTAGAGCCGCGAGCCATGAGCCTTTATTATCACTTTAAAGGCACTCTGAATACCTCATCTTGTCCTACAGTCACCAGAATGCCTACCCAGCAACAGTCACCGGCCTGGAGTTAATAAATCCAAGGTATGAAGCAGTGGGAAACTTCATAAGCAAGCAGCTGAAAAGGGAAAATTCCCTTACTCTCCATCTATCCGAGCATCAGCAGATGAATCCTCGCACAACAATTTTTTCCTAGCAGCAGCTGAATTTTAAACCTTTTTGTCCTTCACACGCGTTGCTTATTCAGAGCATGAGCCTCAACATCCTCTTTTGACTGTCTCCAGCAACAGATGGCTACTGGATTCCACTTTTAACTATAAGGAAGGAAACTGAAGGGACGTTCCTCTTTTGTAGCATCTCTGGAAGTGTTTACCAGACATTATCCTTTCAAACACCCCCTCCCCGCCCCCACGACCCAAAAAAAAAAAAAAAAACAAAACAAAAAAAACCCCAAAAAAACCCCCAGAAAACCCAAACAACACTGGACAAAGACTGGCATTTGGCAATTTGGCTTTTCTTAGAAAGACTGCAACTTCTTCCTGCACATCACTATTATTTTCTAGGATTGGAGATTGCAACTGTTGCCCCAAATGTCTCAGCAGTGACAGATATCAGACATCAYCCCCTTGGAACTCGCAGCACGGGGAATGCTCAACACAAAACCACGTTACAGCGCCTGTCCACAGAGGGAACCGCGATCCTACATTATTACTCYTTGGAAACCTCCATTGCAGCTTAAAATGCTCCCTCCAAAGGCAAACTCTTCAAAGTCAATTCGGAGTTGGAACAAGCACGCTCTGATGTCCCGGGCTATCGCCTCGCCTCGGTAACAGCAGCAGGCAGCGATTGACACTCTCTGCCGGGGCAGCAGCCCGAGCACGGCGCGGTTCCCGAACAGAGCGCGGTTCCAGAGCACAGCGCATTTCCCGAGCACAGCGCGGTTCCCGAGCAGAGCGCGGTTCCCGAGCACAGAGCATTTCCCGAGCACAGAGCAGTTCCAGAGCACAGCGCGGTTCCCCAACAGAGCGCGGTTCCCCAACAGAGCGCGGTTCCCGAGCACAGCGCGGTTCCCGAGCACAGCGCGGTTCCCGGGCACAGAGCAGTTCCCGGGCACAGAGCAGTTCCCGGGCAGAGCTCAGCTCCCTTTCCGCACCCAGCGGAAAGCGCCCGGAACGCGCATCCCCCGCGGCCCCGCTGAGAGCGGAGCGGCCGCCGAGCAGCCCCGACCCCGGCTCCGAGCGCCGGCGGGGCCCGGGGAGCGCCGTGAGCTCCGCGCTTCCCCCAGCGGGGCCGCGGGCAGAGCAGCCCAGCCCGGCCCGGCGCTTCCTCGGCGGGAGCGGCCGCGGGCTCGCCCGGGGGTCGCCGCCCCGTCCCCGTTACCTGAGGGCGGCCGCTTCCTGCTGAGGCGGCTCACGGCCCGGTTGAACATCCCGGGCGCCGCTCGGCCCCGCTGCCGAGCCCGAGGGCGGCCGCGCTGCCCCGCCCCGTCCCGCCCCGCCCGCCCGGGGAGCGGCGCCAGCCCCGCACCTGCCCGGCCCCGCCGCCCCGAGCGGCGCAGATTGCACGGAACCCCGGCTACAGGACCTCCCCGCAACGTGGCACTGGGGGGGCTTCACTCCCCCGCAGCCTTCCCCTCCTCAGCCTGAGCCGCGCCGCTGCGGGCCCTTCTCTGTTCCAGCTGTCCCCGCTTTCATTGCCCTGTGATATCCGTGCGCCCCGACCTTGCTCATCCACCCTTGCTCACCCATCGCTGCTCACCCATCCCTGTTCATCCACCCCTGCTCATCCCCCCTTGCTCGACTACCCCTGTTCATCCACCCCTGCTCATCTACCCCTTCTCATCCTTCCCTGTTCATCCACCCTGCTTATCCACCCTTTCTCACCCATCCCTGCTCATCTACCCCTTCTCATACTTCCCTGTTCATCCATCCCGTTCATCCAGCCCTTCTCATCCATCCCTGCTCTAGCTCTCCCCGGCTCAAGCCTCCCGTTCCTCAGTCTGCTCCTGTCACCGTGCTCTTGGGCATGGGACAGCAGCTATCTCCACCTGGCGTTAGCCACCCTGTCTTTGCTGAGCAGGTGCAAGAAGCAAAAACATCTCCCCAAGACTGTCACCTTTGTGAAATTTCGTCCTGTCTCACCAAAACAGACACACCAAGCTTTTTGTGCTAGGGTGAATCCTTTGCTCTTCCAACACTTGGAAGGACAATTATTTCTGAAAAGAAGGGCATAATTCCAATTTTAACGAAGGTACTTTCAGAAGTAAATTTTTACTAAAATATTTGTTCAGAAATCCAGCATGTGAGAAGTTTGTATAATTCTGACAAAGTTGTAAGCCATCAAACAGACAATTACCTCAGCAAAACAGTAGTGGGAGGCAATGGGAGTGTTTAAATCCCACTGGAAACATCACTAATACAACAAAAACTCACAGAAACCACTGCTAGCAGACAARTCAACAGTTGTTTTATTTCCACCCCAGCCAAATCCCATCCTGAACACACAGTAACACATTGCTAAGAAGCTCCGTTCGCACAGGGAACTTGGATGGACTCCCCATCTCACTGAAACTTAGGGATATTTTCCACTCACATGCACAAGGCCAAGGTCTCATTCCTGGGAATTGGTAACACCAGAAGACTGAACACAAGAATCAATYGCATCTGTGCTTCCAAAATAAACAACAGCACAATACCTTCCAGCTGAAGGGATTTGGCCWGCACACCCCTGGACCTCTGCCTTCAGCACCGGGGCCAAAAGCTSTGTGTTAGCTGGTAAAGATTTCTTGGCTTTTGGGGCGGATTAAAAAAATATGGAAGTTTGCTGCTCTGCTGAGGGAACTGCTCAGCAGCTGCATGTGGCGTTTGCAGGCAGATGTGTGAGACAGGCACAACATTTGGGACACAACTGGAAAATGCCGTGCAAGCATCAGAAGAATGCAGCGTAACACCCCAGCAGCAGGGCCCAGGTGGCASAGCTGGGAGAGGCAAAGCACAGGCAGAGGCACATGTGAAAGGAGCAGGGGGGAGAAAACAGCTTGGACATGCACTCCCAGAGCTCCTTTTAGTCATTTCCACCAGTGCCAGGTATTCCAGGCAGTACTTGTACACTGAAACAGTACAGACATYACCAGATTTTATTTTTCTTTCAGAATCAGGTCACAAAGCCCGGTTTCTATTTTAAGTTGTAGGAACTCATACTCCTAGGACAACTACAGCATCTTCAAGCCAGTGTACTGACAATGAGTTACTGGATTCGTTTTAAGACTTAATATCAAGGATTTGGGGATGAGGGAGTACCTCAGAACTGTGGAAATGTTTAGAGGCCAGAGATTGTGCCCACAGTGCCTGTGCCTCGACAAACCCCACAGGGCCCAGCTCTCTAGAAGCCAAGACATTTCCTTTCCCCCCACTGATACAAATGTTTCCAAGATTTCCTGATTGTGACTTTTCCTAGAAAATACTTTTGCAGAGACAGAATCACATGTGGGCCTGCCCAATCAGTGTCATATTCCCAATGCTGCTCTGTGTTCTGCTCTCACATTTAAGGCCCAGTGCTCCATCAGACRTAATGAGTTGAGGGAATTTTCCTTCCACGTGAATTCAGTGGAGATTTTCAGTACAAATAAGCTGCAATACCCATATACAGCAAATATATAGCAAATTGTGACTAACTCAAACTGTGCCAGTGTCCACATGCCCCATCTATACATTTTTACATTGATTTTTAGACCTTGCATCAGTTTTTTACCATCTTTCCCGTTATTTCACAAGGCAAAATTTCCCTTAAAAATGAACCCACACATGTTTCATAACCTCTGSCTGCAGGCCAGGCAACATGAGAGAATGGTGTGCTCTGAGTGCTTACCCCATCATGGCACTCACACCTAAAGAACTGGGTATCATTAAAACAGAAATCCATATTCAAATAGTCAAGTTCCCTTAAAACTGACCATGAAATCCTTTGTGATCCTCCCATCTCCTGCTCCATTCTGCACATCCATGACTTTTGAGCACAGTCTGGCAGCAAGMCCTGGGCTGCCCATCATCCCAAACAAGGGCAGCTTTGACAATTTGGATAAAGTTCTGCAAACTTCCCACTGACATTGGCAGGAACAGGTGTGTGTGTGTGTAGGGGGAAAGAGAATGTGCAAGACACCCAAAAAGGCAGACACACRCCTGATAATGTGATTTCAGACAAAGATTCTATTTTAAAATTTGACTTGTATTCTAAAGAGTAATTTTACTTAAATTKAAATAGCTGGATTTGAAAAGAAATGAAAGGAGCTGTGCTTAGCTGTTGCCATTGCAAAAATCTATTCTGGAACATGCTGAGCTATGAATAACACCACAGAAAATTCATAAAATGCACAGCTCATTTCAATGCCAAATTGCAGYTGAAAGACTCAAAATTAATCAAGACTATTAGAAACCAAATTCATGATTTAAACTTGATTTCMTTTACACCAACGTAATGCAACTGATTTCAGCAGCAGAAAGGTAGAACTTATCAGAACTTTCAGAGGTAGAGCTTATTTACGTGATTATAAGAACTTAAAATTAGAAATGTTAACAATGAGGAGAGACATTCAAAGTAGGAAATTCATTTCACTGCAAAAAAACCCCAGCCCTTTAAAATCTGATTTTAAACTTAAAAAGTTTATTAACAGCAGAAAATAAGACTGGATACTGCACTGCAAACTGAATTCTGGCCTGAAAACAAGGTGTTTTCATTCATAAAAATAAGTGCATAAAAATCATTTACTCAGGTCATCACATGTTCAATAACACCAGGTTTCAAACTTCATCAATRTTCATCTTAAGGTCCTGATGTTCCCGATGGGCTGGCAAACACGGCTTCAAAGCTTTTCCTTCCAAATTAGCCAATGCTGAAATGCASAGAGTATCATGAACCTGCAGGGATTCCAGTTTATGGGGTTTTTACCTAAATGCTTTAGCACATACGTTTTCAGTTTAACCACAAAGCAATGAGTGACTGGCTGCTAGAATACACCAGTGTGTTAACCTTGGTCCTTTTAGAGAAAGCAATGGGACTGGATGTTGTTAACATTTGGGGTGGTTTTTCACAGTTCAAAGCCAAGAATCACTTTTGAGTTTTATTAACTTTAAACCAACAAGCCACTTTCAGTTTCAAAGGTGCATCAGTCTTAGCTAAATGCAGTTACTGTCTGAAGATTCACAGATACCAGAGTAAAAGAGCAGATAATAAAACAAGGTTTTAATCTTTTAATAAGATACAGACACATACAGAGCAAATTTAAACATAATCTTCCTGCAAGGTACACGGCATAAAACAGCCTTGAAGAGAATTCTTGTAGAGAGCTATATTCTATTTCAGGCTTGCCTAAATAAATCAGGGGAATTTGTSCAGCACTCCTGACTTTGAACTCACAGAAAGCTCTGACTCACTCCTTTGTAATACTTTCTAGTATAAGGAGGTTCACAGGGTCAATTTTTATCCCTAATCTTGYGGAACATTCCTCAGTACCTCCAACTCCAGCAGCTTTATGTGTGCCAAAATACAGACTGCAAATCTCTGGCAGTGAATTTAAACATGCAGAAATGGAGTTACTGGCTGAGTAACTCCAGTAGTGCTCCTACCTTACACTACTTGCACTTACACCTCTTCATAAATTGTACTCAGAAAGAAATAAGACCAAGTGTTTCAAAACTCGGAATTCAAGTGTGATTGTGATTTTTTTGCAGGTCTATGCTCTTTGCATCTGACAGGGAAGAAAATGTTTTGTTAGGTTAGTATTAAATGTGTATTTAAATTTGATAACAATCTTACTGCTAAACCAGTCTTACTTTTTTTTCAACTTCATTCTCTAAAGAAGAAAGAACTGTATTTTCCTTTTATATTATCTTTAAATTTCAAAGGCCATTATATAATTTTTTTTACCTGCAGGATTTAAACCCAGCTTTCAGAAAATAAAACAGCATTATGAATTAAGTCTTGAGATGAAGAAATACAGTTTTCAATAAGCAATTTCACAGCAATAAAAATCCTGACTTGGTAAAATAGTCATATATTCAACTAGAAATTAAATAAGAAATCATGATCAAAATCCTAAAAGCATTCTGAGCCCTTCTGGATTACACATATAGGTAGGACTGACTGAGGGGTGCAGTAAAGAAAACCCAGGTTTTTTGAATTATGTTCAGTCTGGTATACACCTGCAGATAAAATAAAAAAAAAAAGAACTTAACACATGCTTTCATTAGCCATCTGTAAATATTAAAACAGATACAAACTACAGAAATCAAAGATTTTTACAATACAGGAGAATATTAAAAATTATACCTGAGGTCAGTGTGTTTCTGCTAAGAACCAGAGACAAATACAACAGATTTGTCTCCTGGTGCACGAAAAGTACAACTCTGTCAATTAGAAACATAATARAAGTGAGAAACACAGCAAAACAGGGTGTGAAAAATGAGCAATACACAGCCCTAACAATAACTGAATCAGAGCTCAAAATTAAGTATCCATATGATTCTCTACAATTAAAATAATTACAAAAGTCTGTTTCTACAGCCTTGGTAAACTCAGACATACCTGGATCCCTCTAACAAGTATCTTGCATCTTGTCTTCCTTTTACTCAGAAGTCACAGACAGGAGAGACTCCAGAAATACCTTTCAGTAAGATTTTGCTGCAGAAGCATTTCAAGGAAACATCAAAGTAATGCAACTTGTCAGACACTTGYTGCTAGACACTGTGACCTCGTAACATTAATTCAAAGTATAATATCACATACCTAGGCAAATTTGTATGCATACATCTTGTRGGACAGTTTCTGTGCTCTTCCATAAAAACCCACAAAACAAAAAGGTGCTGGAAGGAACTCTTTCAGAAGTCAATGTGAACACAGCATCACCTTGTGTATTGGCCATACCTCTCCGAAATGCAGATATATTCAGCAATATCTGTTGGTCATCTGGTATTGATAATTTCAAAATGTATTAGCAATACATGTGAACAGCTGTTACGCTTCTGGATACTGAAAGTTTGTATAGATAAGTGCCCTATGAAAATGTCCATTATAACTGATTTGAGAGATGTTTTTGGACCTTCATATCCTTGTTTCATAGAATACATAAATCCAAGTTGAAGGCAAGATTCATTTAGGAATAGTATCCTAGAAACATTCACATTTTATTTTCCTGAGTCTGAAATCAGCCACACTTCTAGACGTCAGAAATTTCTCCTACAAAACCACAGCACATACCTGTAAATAAAAGAATCCCCAATTCACACGAAGACAGCAAGAGTTCAGAAAATACTGCACCTCAGCTTTCTCTGAAYATTTGCAAATGCTGAGAACAGATTTATTCTGTACAGAAAACAAGCTTTGCAATTTACCACAGGAAAGAGGAAGGCATAAATGTTTCCAGCCTTTGACTGTACAACAGGTACAGGATGGAATAGTGGTTCAAAGCTGTTGATTCCAAGGTGTATTTGTGTAAACTCCTTGTGCTTTCAGGTGCAAGTAAAACTCAAGTAGAAATAGTTCTACAAAGGTATATTTCAAAATTATATTGTCCTTTTAATAACTAAGAGGGTGATTCCCTCCCCGCCAGTCAGTACCTGAGTTGGAAAATTTGGAATAAGCAATAAATTATCAATTTATTTCTGACAACGCTTGACAACCCAGCATTAAAGGAAACATAATTCATGGAGTGAAAAAGATCCGCCCCATTGAAAGGAACAAAAAACCCATGAAGAGCATTTTTCATGGGACAGAAACCCAGTAATAATTCCCCATTATAAAGAAGTAGCTACTCAAATGGAGGACAGYAGCTTTTCATCATCCCCGGTGATATTAATAGAGCCAACTCTGTARAGGTATAAAGTCAAATTTTGAACCAGGAAACGTATTATCCAGTGTTTCAGGTGGAAGACGTAAAATTCTTTTTCAGCTCTTATCCATCCCTTTCCAGAAGTTGTCAAGAATGGGAAGACATTTAACAAGCAGCTGCACGTATGTGAAACTTCTTCAATTATTCCAACAAAAAGGTCAATACAGACACACCACAGAACGCCAAGCCCAGAGGTCTACATTGAGCAAGTCTCCAAATCCAGATGCTAAATGCAATTTGCTCTCTTATGGGTTTTCTCACCTTCTGTGCCCTAGATTGGCTGTTTAATATGCACCTCCTTTCTGAGAAACCAAAGAGGTTATGTGCTTTCTACTTTAGGAATTTTAAAGCCACTTAATTTGAAGCAAGCAGGTAAAACATGTTTGTGTCTGAATGGCCACAAGCCTTGGGGTACTGCTGCAGTATCTGTGTAAACCTGCTGAGATCCTGAATGTGTTTGACAGTCTGCCTTGGCACTGCTGCTGCTGCACCAGGCACACTGCTCTACCACCTTCTCTCACCAYCTTTCCCMTTCCTCCTCCTCCTCTCTTCCATGCCAGCAGCAGAGAAAGACAGCTGCTGAGAATCTGGGATCTGTGAGAGCTAGATTCATGCAAGGAATGGTGACTGAGCCCTTGTTTTTGAAGGGAAACATTCAAACACTAGCACACATCAGTACACAGAGTCAGCTTCCACTGARTTCCCTGACACAACTCCATTAAGTGTTTTTCTTCTAAACAAAAAATAGTCTGTGCAGTTCTCATGCCTTATTGACAGCTTCAACACTAAGATAGAAGGCAAAACCATGTTTCTTTCCACAGCACATCAAGAATACTTTAATAACCAGTAAGATTCAGATCAGCTTTAATCAAAGCATAAGGAGCTGTGTATTTAAGCAAGAATAACTTGTATTCAAATAATCATTACTGATGTCAAATTAACGTTCTGAGTCATTACCCTTAAAATGTCAGTGAGCAGAGTATGTCATTCACACATCCATGATCTACATCAGCACACAGCCTCAAAAGGACAACACAATCAGTGTTCACTTGTCAATATGAAGTCCTGTTTTTTTTTTTCCAAGTAAAACACTCAGTAAACACTTCAGCATTGTCTTTGATTTGAAATCATAGTACAGGTGGGTGAGATTTTATCTATGTAATACTGAAAAGCAGAACAACTTTTAAGGTTTTTTTTTTTTTAAACAATGAACTAGATTCATAGAAGTCAGCTGAAATAAAACACGACAAAGATCTTCCCAGAAGCTACTGCCTTGCAGTCGCCTTTCTGTGAACAGAAACTTCATTACATAGTGAAACCCTTAAATTTATCAATGTGGGACAGGCACCACATGTGATCACAACAAATGAATTCTCACTCACTTTCAAGAGAACTTCCTTTTGCYATTACAGCCGCAATCCAGATCCCAGATTACATCTATATATGAAGACTCAAGCTGGAACAAGGCAGTTCTTCACAAACCCCATCCATTTTTTGAAAGTATACTGAACAAAAGATTGCCTGTATCTTGCAATGTAAGAACAGTGCAACAAAATCTTTTATTGCTGACCAGGAAACAGTTTCATGTGATTAAAACAAACACTTGTGCCCTTGTTCAAAAACAGTCAGATAATTAAGAAGTATCAGACACTAATCATGTCCATACAGTTAAGTCTGCTTCCTTGTGTACAAACACAAGAAAAACAAATCAYTATTTTTCTGCAAAACTAAGCCTTATTCACTGTGAGACTTTTTTGAGTGAAATGAAGGCAATGGCTCTGGTACAGTGAATAGCTTCTYATGAAGTTATCATAGTAAGAAGAAGGTTCTGCAGGAAAGTATGTCTAAAAACTGTTAGCTAATATACACAAGGAGGCAGGACTGATGAGAAGCTACAGGCAACCTTAGATTTACAGCCTTACTACTGCAACTCTGCAAAATACAAAATGATTTCATAGGAAAATTTTTTAAATAAAACATCTTTTACATGATTGCAAGTGCATAGTTTACAAGTTCAGCCTTGTCTGCCTGTTGTCAGTTTTACAGCAAAGAGGGACAATGCTTTGACAGATGACAAATACAGGATAAGCCCTTTATCATGTTTCACTTTTATTGAACATTTTCTGCAAATGCAGATTACAACCTTGGTTTAGGTTGCACGCATCAACTTAAGCCATAATAAATCAGTATTTTTGAAATCCAAATCCTAGTGGTAAGRGTTAGGTAGTGGTCGATTTCTGTAGTTAGAGAAATTACAACAGTGTAAGTGTCACTCATAAAAGCAGTATGGTGCAAGAGGCTCTTTGGTGCCAAAAAATTGTCAGTGATGCATTTATGAATGCTACTGAGTAAAAAGCAATCTAATTTACAACTCTTCCTCGCAGTGCTAGAGAAACATTAAAGGACACTGGAGACTCCCATACCTTGAGCAGTCTGCGAAGAAATATCACCATTACAGAAAAGCTGTATAAAAATCAATGACAAAAGACTTAAATCAGAAGGTATATCCTATCTTTCATCCTGAAATACAGGTCAGGTACGGCCCAGCTCTACAGCAGGCATATTAAATAATCAGATTTAAAGTGATCTACACATTGAGACCTGAAAGATCACTGCCTTAATCTCACACCCATTTATATGGGCATTTATGTGGCAATGTACTTGCATCATCTAAATCTTCAGTAGCGCCTAAAGAACAAATTGCCTTCACACCAGCATGCACCCAGAACAGCCGCATGGCAAACACCTAGAAGGATGTAGAAACCCCAGATTTCAAGTGAAGTCTAAGAAACCCTAAAGGAACTCACAGTTCATATCTCTWCTGACTCGTGACTTTTTAAACCAGCTGAGTGTAACAAAAACACGGACTTGAGAGGTTTTTCCAAACTACAATGTATAGGCCGATCCTCGCGTAGATATACACATATATACAAAATTTATAGAAAAACAAGAATCCTGTAGACAAGATCCTATCTTGAGTGGAAAGACACTACATATACCATAAAGGAGAAATGGAGATAAAGGGCCAATTCTGCCATCAAGAGCACTCGTGGTTCCACACTAACTTCAGTCATTAYTGCATGCAGTAGATGCCCAGAGTCAAAAGTACCTCTGGTGCAGCTGAGCCAACTGACTAAACTGCTCTTCCATTACATCTCACTTTCAACCTCATCTAAAAGTCAAGGTACTACTTTGCACGCCAATAAACGAGGAAAGAAAACCCTCATGTGATTTGCTACAGCAATAAGTGTAGTTATTTGCACARCCTGGCTGGGTTTAACACAACTGCAAATCTCCATTTCAAACCAGACTATTCTACCTTGCAACACCTGCATGGTCAGAAACAGAAAAGAGAAAATATACAGCTTCTCAGACACTCACTTAGAACTATCATCRCTAAAAATCAAACTGTTTCTTTTAAAATGCAAGTTTGCTTCACTGAACTACCACTGCAAATCCTACTCTTTCCCTTCCAACTGTGCCTGCCTCAGCAATCCAGATTACAGCTGAGGCATTTGCACCCTCTAGCTGTCACAGGGAGGACACATTACTTATATCTAACTTACATTCATTTTCAACTTCAAATTTATTGAGGCAGTTTATATCAATGTATCCATAAAATAATTCAGAAATAACCCAAGTATACCATTTAAACATCTTCATGATTTATCCATTTACACACTCAGTACACAAACAACCCAGCCTCTGTACAGGTTCATCACATGCAAACCACCCATAAAGACAAAAACTTTAATTAAAAATAAGTCACAACTCAGTGTACTGTTTCAACTGCATCTCCATTTACCAAATGGCACATTGAATAGTCTCTAAAATAAGATGTTTTTAACAATCTTGTTAAAAAATTCTTGGGCAAAATATTTCTAGACTTAAAAAACATCAAGATTTTTCAAAACACTCAAGATACTATACAACTTATAATAACCTTGAAATAGGTTTACAAGGTTGTTAACCAAGGTATTTACATACCAAATAATGTAAAGCAAAAAATTTGTATTTCTAATGACAAAAAGGTGATGCATTAAAGATTTATGAAATTAAAATTAAGGCTCTTTGTTATAGTTCTTTATGTAACTTTACATAATAGCCAACTTTGGAAATGTCAGTCTTGCACATTCTTGTCAATCTACTGCATTTAAAGCAGTAGAGTATATTAAGTATTACTTTGAATAATTACATTGCTACTTCTATGTTTGAGCATGCTTTTGAAACACTGTAATTATGAAATATTTACAATGTGTAGCCTTCAAACTTTATGTAAAAGCCCAAGTATGACTGTCTGATTTGAATACAAACAACATACTTGTAAAAACGTTTTTTTACTTCTCAAAATTAAATGTAAACTACTACAGTTTCAACAAGCAAACCGGCTCTGAAAAGCTTCAACGTGTGCCTGAATGTGGACAGTAAAAGTTWGGTGAAATTCCTCAGACAGTACTGTTTTTCATTTCAGACTGAACTATTCGTTGTATCAACTGTTTTCCGTAAGCATGTAGAAAAATTAAATATTTTTTTAAAAAATTATTCCAAGACCTCCATATACTTTGAGCTATGTCCATAGGTTTCTTGAAAACTCAATACTGTCTCGCAGGTTGTAGTGATTGGTCCACAGTTTATTTCAGGATGTGTGTTCAACTAAAAGCAACTTGCTGTTTTTCAATGTCATTTCTCTTAAAAGCACAATGATATAAAACACTGAAGACAAAACAAAAAAAAAATGGAATGGTAACCTAAAGATCAAATCCATTAGCCATTTCTCCTACTATATCAAAATTTGTAGTCAGAATTGTCTTTATTGACTTTATTTTTAATTTTTGTACACAAAGAAAAACATGTTCATATCCATCATGAACAAAAACTTAAAAAGGCAGAACTAGAAGACATTTGTGTCCTTCACCAAAGCAAAGCTGTGCTAAAGGTTCCAAACATTTCCATTTTTAAAATAAATATTTTCTTTTTTTTTTCATTGTCTACATTCCAGTCTTCAGAATGTCACTGGAAACTGCAGCCTATCATGAAATACACACTTTAAAACAGAGTCCCAGCTCACTGCGTTTGGTAACTTGCCATACCATATCCAGCTTGGTTAGGTATTACAGGAGCACCTTGTCCCTGGGCAGGCTGAGCACCAAATCCACCCATCCAGGCAGCAGATGGAGATTGGCTTAAAAAGAAACAGGATGGTCAAAAAGTGGGGAAATCAACTTAAAAAAAAACCCAACATAAAAACATACATGCTACACAATTACTTTATCAAAATAAATAACTTCTTTTTAATGAGTAAKTCAGGTTAAGCACTACAACATGTGATTCCTAAAAATATCATGAGCTTTTTAAGAACAAAGGAATAAACTCACGAACCTTGGGTACCAGTTGCATATGGCACCTGCCTCCAAAGGCATGTACAAACACAGGTGGGTGGAACTCAACATCAGTGATGCAGAAAAGCAAAAAAATACCCAGTACCTCTGGGCATGAACACCAGTGATAGGTTCATGAGGGYTCAATATGTTTAACTGGCACCAGATAATGAAGAACTAGGCAAACAAGTTCATTCAAAATTATGTTGAAGAGTTCTTGTAAAGACTTAAGTCCTCAAGAGATCCATTATTAAAAGCCCACACAAATTCTGAAACTGCACAAGTATCTGTGTGTAGGTCCTTCTCTCCCTCTAGGCAAATACCTGGGCTCCTGGTTCAGACTCATCACCTCCAGTCAGAATCCAGAATATATTTAGATACCAGACAAGACCACCACCCAAAACTTTACCACACTGAGTGGTCTTTGTGCCTCCACTACACACACGAAATGTGCCATCAGGTACAAGTCAGAGTGACTCACCCCTGTATCTGCTCCATGGCAAGCACTAAACATAAGCTTTAAGCACACAGGAATCCCCCTAAGTATGAAACCTTGTGCAATCCTCAACCCAAATGAGCCTGAAACTCAGATACAGTGTTCCCAGAATATTCTGAAAAAATTAAATGTAATTACTCACTCTACTCCAAAACCCTGTTGATTCCATGCTTGGCCATACATTCCATATGATGGTACTTGCCACCCATTAGCCATATATTGCCCATACTGTTGTGGATTTCCATATACTTGGCTCCATTGCCCCCACTGACTGTAATCCACCTGYAGAAAGAATAATCCATTGTACTTCAGGTTCTAGAGATGGTTTATRTTGCATTTGTGCTGCTGAAGGCAAAGTTTTGGCTATATCAATCAGAGAGCTAAAACAAGCAWTAATGAGATCTGAAAAATAAGATGTCATCTTACTTAATTAGATCCTTGTACTGAAAAATATATTTGTGTCTGCTTGAAACCCCAAAGACTATCTGCTTGGACAGCCACCTAATCTGCAGTTAGCAAAACAGCAAGAATTAGAATTACCTCAAAGTTTCTCCCTATCTTGGATCATATCCAGAAGACAGTAACAGATATTCCATCAAAATCACTAGCCCAATTTGATGAACTGGAACATAACTGAGACAGAACATGGAATTTCATAAGAACTCCACCATAAAATGTAGCCATTACAACTGGGAAGTCATTACAGGTATAAACAMAATTGCTCTTGTGATACAAAGAAAAGGTTAAGTACAGTTACCTGTTGGAAGTTTTTAGTCATATCAGGGGATTCTTTACCCCAATAACATTTAACAACGTGTCCTTCAATTGTGGTTCCATTAACTGAAACAATAGCATGTGCTGCACTTTCATGGGTTGAAAACCTAAAGAATGCAAAAACAAAATAATATTATGCTTATGTACTTCCATATGACTCCATACATGCAGGAAATCCAGAGAAAAACATCTGCTTTCACGAACATTCATCTTCTCAGCTAAAAATGTTGGTGGCCCTTTTTACAAGTTCCAAATTCTTCTATGAATATATGGGGACAGCTTTTAATGTATCAGGACAAGTTCAAYCAAGTGAAATTACAGAAAGATGAAGCATCTCTACATGCACAGAYCCACAGATTCTCCTTTCTCTGTCCATACCTGACAAATGAGTAACCTTTTTCTGGAAACACCCTTATTTCCATAATCTGCCCAAACGGTGAAAAAGTCTGTCTCATAAGTTGATCTACAACAAAAAATGTTTCTGCATTAGTAATCATCCTGCAGTCCAAAAAGTTTCAATAATAAAAAAATCAATAGAACACTTTGTACCTGTTAGCCCTGAGGCAATTCCTCCACAGTACACAGTACAATTTTTTGGACTTGACTGATTTACTACATCTTCAAATCTCAACTGTTTTGTATTATCTGTAAAGAGAGAAGGCTGGTTTTCAGCAGTGGGCTGACAGTAACCCAGACACTTACCTTGTACACAAGCATGAATTTCACATTTAACAAACATATTCTATATTTTATGATAGACCAGTAGTGCCACCACTATGTTGATACAATATCCAAAACTATTCTTTAATATCTGGAAGGCAAGCTAGATATTTAAGTGACATGACTTTGGCTTCTGTTTTCTTTCCCCATTGAACAGTGACAAGACAGCAAACACAACACAGCRTGACATGAAGTTCTTACTTTCTTGTGTACTTTTGGGGGCTGGTGGTTTCCTTGTTGCCCAGTTRGTTCGGATCTGGCGGCCTCCCAACCACTGGCCTCCCATGTGTACAATAGCATTTTCTGCATCCTGAAGAGATTAAAACAGAGGTTGTAACACTTCCAAACAAGATCCATGTACAAATCTACTCCTAAGACTTGTGTTAATTAAATTATCAGTTAATTCTAYTAACAAAACTTGCAACAGTATCAAGAAAAGTACAAAATTCTGAACAAGCAACGTTAATTAACACAAAGGCAATTTCTTACAGACAAGGCCCTCAGAAGTAATTTGGTAAAAACTTCCACACATTTTCTACACAGGTTAGAAACCAACAGCAATCATAATACATATGTTACCTGTTACATGCCACATACATACATGTACACACACACAGGGATCTATACCATATATACATACACTATACAACCATCTGTATTAGAATGTTCAAGAGCTGCCCAAAAAAGTGCAAAGGTCACACAGATGCCAGAAGCAATTACTCAAATGAAACAATTATCATTAAATGTTTCTTCTGCTCCCTGGAGGCACACAACAGGTGCTTTGTAAGTCCTTTACATACTAAAGTCATTGTATGAAAACACACAAGAGTCCATGGCCCATGCAGAGTGACTTTTTATCTTGAATATGAAATTGAAGCCAATCTTTGAGTTCACATTGTAAGCAGAAACACCTGGCAAGCAAGGCTAAGTTTGCTAAAAGCTGCAAGAAGCAATTTTTCTCCCAATTGCTTTGGAAGAAGACAGGCAGAGCGAATAGTTAGTATATGTTTGAAATGTTTTTCCAAGGGCACAAAAGAAAAAAACTGACAAGCACAGGGGATAAAGAAAATGTGGACAAGTTGAAGGTGAGCTGTTTCCAGGTGGAACTCTCTTAAACTCAGGACCTTGATCTTTCTAGGTTTTAATTACACTGAGTGCTCATTTTGAAAACATATAAAGACAACAAGGAAATTACAAAAGATGWCCAATAAGAAAAGAAAAACCCAACATAAAAGACAAAACCAAACCACCAGACAATAAAACACCCAAGCACCCTTGGCTCCCAAAGCATCATGAATACATAATAAACTGACTAGGAAAGGGAACTCTCTCTGATGAATTTTGCTGCTATTCTGCTTGAGGATCATARCTATGACAAAAATGGAACAGAGCCCAAGCCAGAACTGAACCAGTCAAAGGCAGGAGTTTAATTTTCTCTTTACTGTGGTACATATTGAGACCTCAGGCTGGAGTACTTGAAGTCTGGGAGCATTTCCCACTTCCCCAARTCTAGCAAAATAATACAATCTGAAAACCAGGCCTTTGTACCAGCTTAGAAGAGTCATGTCATAACCCTACATGTGCAGCTGCTGTGAATGAACAGCAATCAAAGTTAACARTACTTTTTAGTATCATGTTTAGAATTTATCCATTAATTTTGTAGAATGAATACAAATTTAAAATTGGATTTTTATGAYTCAGTCTGAAAAGAATACAGTAATTTTCATGCTATGACTGGAAAGAGGGGTACAAGGRAATAAGACAGCTATTCCTTGCCTATTTCAGCTGTAACACAGAACTAAGTGTAACTGTAAAATTACACTAAAACAAGGCATTCAATTGCAGTATCTTACRGCATTGGTAAATATGAAGAAATGAAAACTTTTTCTCTGATTATGACAACTCCAGATAACTRTTACAGAAGATCAAAAAACATCTGACATGTAGGACTTCTGACCACACAAACAGGCTTTGTATGYCTGTAATCCTGAAGCTGTGTGTTTTACCTATGCAAAATACGTAAGGAATATGATTTACAGTTTCCCCACGCTGTCTTGAATGTACATACAGCTCCTGTACACATAAATTAATTTCCCTGGGTGAAGTCCAATAAACAGCAAATACACAAACAGGCAAAAGTAAAAATGGAAAACAGGAACTATTTTAAACCTGCATTGTGATTACTCACCAGTTTGTTATAAAAAGATACAAAACCATAGCCTTTTGACTTTCCAGTTGCCATATCTTTAACTACCCGTGCATCCCTGTGAAAAGAAGCACAGCTATATGAGGGTAGTATTGAAAACCTGCAAAATAAAAACTAAAAGGAACCACACACACTGTATTGTGAGCATAATTTTTTCTTATAAATTCAGTTAGCCCTAAAACTACAGTCATTCCTGAACTCTCCCTATTGCTTCTTTACCTGTTAGAAAAAAGCAGTAGGACAAAAAAAATAACATGTAATAAACATGCAACCTATGCACATAACCTATACTGGCTATAACTAGAATGTTCAATTTTGAAGTATAAGAGAAACAAAGTTTCCTTTTCTAATATTCTATTGGCTAGGGTCCTCTAAGGTTTACTGTTCTATAAATTACTGTAACAATTCTATCTAATTTACCATGCATTTTCTAAATAGTTAAATGTCTTCTGCCTAGTGATACAAAATATATGAAATATTAAAAAAATCGAAAAAGAGGAAAAAATAGGAATTAAAAGGCATACATGGCCTGTTAACAGATTTCTTTATTTTTCTTGGTCAATTCTCTACCATCATTTTGGAGTTTGGGTAGCTGTAAATTTTGAAAAATTGACATTTTCAGAAATTTAAGAAAGGAGAATAAAACTAACAACAATGCTAAGCACACCAGTACGAAAACAACAAATTTACACAGAAATTTTAGTGAGTAAGTTAAAATGATTGGAAATATAGAACTGCACTGAATATAGAATGTTAAAATGTAAATACTAAAATATGTATATATAAATAATGTATAATAAGAATAAATAGAAATGAGAAAAAATCTACAACTGAGTTCCAGTGTGCACAGTTCCTTGCAGTTAGCCTTCAAGATCCTGTCCATTCTTATGAGCAATTCTGCAAAATAACCAGAATGCTATTACTTTTAATTGTGACTTGGACTTTAGAAAAACTGCAGGTCTCAGGTATAAATATAGATCGAGAAACAGAAACCTGAATTATTCTTTTTAAATTGATTTTTTAAAACAGTACTACTTACCACATTAAGAGACAAAAAGCAAAGTAAACAAAACAGCAGAGGTAAGAAATAAGATTTATGATTCATTTWAAAATATGCGTACAGAACAAGAGAAAAATAAGAATTTTGTTCTCAGAAATATATTCCTGTAAAGTAGTACAAAAACGTTCATGTGCAACTGATTTTTATAAAGATAAACTGCTAGAAGATTAACAGATTTTTTTGTTGCAGTACTCTTAAGAACATATATAATTTAGTACTCTCAAGGACTTTGTAATGTGAAATATGTTCAATTAGAACACCAGGTGATTTAGTATCACCTGAATAGTCCATGAGAAGTTTAAAGAAACATTCTCTTAACTGGCAGAAATGTGCACATATTATAAAGTCACCATTCGTTAAGATATTGTAATTGYAATCCATCCCATTTTTATCAAAAAMCCCAGATTTCATTCTCGTAAGTATTAGCTTTTTTCAAAACATTCCCAAGTTATTAACTAGCTGCCTTATAGAATTATATTCCAATTGCCCCATTTTCCATACTGCCTATGWAAAAATGCAGCAAAAATGCACATAAACCACACCCAGGATACAACATATACCAGYTGTCAAGTCACTACTCTATACACATTCTCAACACCAAAAAGTCACAATTAGAGCAGTAATTAAATTTTAATAAAAAGTTGAAGGACATTAGCAWATAAATTAGGTTAAAAGCACATTGCTTTCAGCAAACCAGAGCACAATTACATTACTGTATTTACACCATAAGACACACCGAGATATAACCCCTCTTTACCACCCACCCACCCACCACAAGAAAATTAACAGCAGAAAAATTATCTCAATAGATAAGAAATAACATTTCAACTTAGAAACACATTTTCACTATCATATTTTCTGACTGATAATGGAAATGTTTATGATGATACTTACGATATTTTACCAAAAGGAGCAAATGCTGACTTGATGTCTTCTGTTGTTATTTCTGGACTTAAATCCCCAACGAACACATGGAAGTGATCTGAAAATAAATAATTTACTAATCAAATATTTAACTGCTATCTAAAGTTTCAACTCCTGAGAAAGTGATGCTCTGCACACAGCTCTGGGAACCAGGAACGCTCAGGATTCCATGTGAAGAGCAGCAGCAATTTAATCTGTCCACTCCRGTTTCCCCAGTTGTAAAGCAGAAACAGAAGAATTAGTTTGCAAAATTCTATTAAACACTAGATGGGAAGGAGAGAAGTTACGTTTAAATGCATTTATGATAAATTATTACCACTTTGTGAAGTATTTGTGTAGAAGTGATACTGTGGCATTACATTACTTACTGGATGTATCTTTTTTCTGGCTACTTGGTGTTGTTGCCCAGTTTACTTTGACCTCCTGAAAACAAGTATAAGATTTAGTATAAATTCACAAAATCCTTACATTTTATAAGTTCATTCAAGGGTGGGTTAAAAACACCATCATAATTAGAACATCACAAATAATACATTTCCTAAACAAGACTTACGTTTTCGTCTCAAGATTTTTAAAATATTATTCTATCAATATTTAATCTTGCTAACACATCTTCAACTGTTTTATTAATACTTTCACACAAATCTATATTCTTTAAATCTAAGATTACCATGTGAGTAACTTACCTTTCCCAAAATTTTTCTCCCATTCATAGCAGCTAATGCAGCAGCTGCATCTCTGTGTTCATAAAATTCCACAAAGCAATAAGGGTCATTGCTTGTATGCTGCAAAACAGAAAATCCAACAGAAGAGTTGACCCTTCTGCTATCGGGTTGCTGAGAAGAAAATCCAGGAAAATATATTACTTATAGCTAGAAACTTTCAGAATGATTTGCATCAGATTTATGAAATAGCCTTTGACATTACACTTAAATGCAAGAATTACTAAGATGGACTTTTTACTAAAGATCTAGCAATTTCTGAAGGATAGTTTGCTTTGAATTAGGACTGAAGTTTACTGAGCTAAAAATAACTATTGGAAAAGTGATCTGCAGACTGGATGGAAAGGAGAGGAAAAAAGAAAGAATGGAGAGAAGAACAAAAAACTACCTCATGCATATACTGAAAGCTTCAAAGATTTGTTCCCCAGATACATTTTCACCAATTTTCTCTTGCCCTACTTTAGAAGTGTTTCCTTTTATTTGATTGAAAAAAACCACTAGCAGGCAGCAACCTGGAAGCTGCATAGACTCAGTCTCAAGTGAAAAATGCCACACCCAACAACTGGGAAATAACCTTTTAAAGGAACTCAAAGTAGTTTGACTGAGGGAAAAGGATATTAATCGAGTGGTAACTCTGTTAAACCTTGAGTACAACCTGTTTTTGTAGGATGGCCTATCAAATCACTGTTAAAAATAGTGACTGACAGAGATCACTGAAGTAATAAATGTACCAGAGTATAAAGTGCAAAGAACGAAGAGTTTTCTGAAAAGCTGATCAAGTGGAAAGGATGTCTAGAATGCCAACATGAACACTGGATTTGATCTACCTCCAAGATGCAATAAGTACAAAAACTCTAACCAAAACATTTCCATTAACTACTMTGCACATACCTGGACCAAAAGATGATAAACACTAATGTTAAACTAAAATTACCTCTCACATGGAAAGGGAAGGGTCTAGCATAGAGAAACTGCTTTGGCATCAGYATTGCCACCTATCAACCTCTCTCAATCCCAGGCAGAACACAGCTGTAATACAAGTTAAGAGAAGCCTTTTCCAGCATTCCTATTTAACTTCTAACTTACTTCAACACTTACACTGATGAACAATTCTAATCCTTCCCCCTAAAACTGAATTGTACAGCTTCAAACATAGTTCTGTCTACCTCTGAAGCTGTTAAGATGCAACAGCTGAAGGGATCACAAGGCCTTTATACACCTAAAATTATGGAGTCTGAAGTCATCCTCCTGAASACTGTCAGTACTTGGGGCCTCTAACAGGTGCACAATGAACACATAAGAGAAAATGTACCTGAGCTCATGAAAAACAGTTTCAATCACAAAGTTCTCCACAAGCACACTCACCTCAGATGTCCCAAAACAGAAAGCCTTAATTCAACCATCCTCYCACACTACTCTGGAAAACCCATTAAAGGCCTCTTTAGGAAATTTAGTGCAGTTTATGCTTCAACCGAAGTGCACCCTTACTTTAAGATTATAGGAAGGTCTTCTTTAGCACTGAGAACTTGYYTGAACATGAGAAGAKTTTCTTTTGCAGACACTCACATCTTTAGGTGTTCAAACTACCTACAAATACTGTTCCACCACCCTATTATATAACCCCAAAAGAAACACTTGAAATAATTCAACACTTGATGTGTGCACGTCACATATTCTACAAAAGAAAGAGTTGATACACCTGGTTAAAATGGAAAAATCACAAGATTTTTAAAACATGATGGTGATACTAACAATGGTAAGAACAAYTTGTTTCATAAAGATGCCTCACTTATGGAAAGATCTTAAAACCACAAAACCTCAACTAAGTTAAAATGAGTGTTGGAATCTCTCATCTGATTGTCAAGAAACCAAACTGATGCTAACAGCTCTCAACCASCCAAAGGTGGGAGCAGCAGCACCTTATGTCTGTAGAGCACATGACAATCAAAACTGTTTCTTCAGAAAAAAAACTGTGATCTGTCAGCCTCCTGTTATTTTAGTCCAATAAACTTAAAGCAAATGCATCAGAGAAAAGGGTCACATGAGAAATTATTAGTCCAGACAAAGATGAGAGTGATTAAACAAGCAGCAAGCTCATGATAAGAGCAAACAAAGAAACAAACAAGCAGTGTGATACATTGAAAGAAAAGAAGCCCGCAGGGGAGTTTCTAGTAGCATTCCTACAGAAGTCTGGTCACAAGACTTGCCTTTTAATACTTTCATGAACAACCTTGACAAAAAAAAAATACTCTAACTGTCCTTAGGAAACCAGTAATTGCAAATTAGTCTGAAGCATAAGCAGCAGGAAAAGGCGGAAGAGCATACAGAAACTAGAGATGAAGGACCAAAGCTTAAACCTAGCCGACGTTCTGATTAATCCTTGCCTGCTCAAAGCTTAGCAGTTATAAATGTAGAATGAAGGGAAAGTATCAGGGAGAGAGAAGTTTTGTAGGATGTGCYAACAAGCTCACAGAAATGGCTACCAACCCTAAAGGCATCAGAGTATTTACAATGGAGACAAGAAAGCATTAATACTTACCAACACTGTGCAAAAGACCTTATCTGGAATACTATGGAAACTTTGTCACTTTGTTTCAAGAMAAAATTAATTTAAGAACAGACAGGTGCAGACAAAAGATATTTGCACTGGCGCAGACAAGAGCTATTTGAACTGGAGCAGAAAAGGCTGAGGAAGAGCCAAACTTATTTGGAAGGATTTTTTACTTTTCATCCATAGCAAAGAACCATTTATTCAAGAGGAAAAAGAATTATTGAGACTCACTTTCAAATAAAGCAAAAAATGTACAAAGTAGCCATGAATACCACTTGAAATAATGTTTCTGATCATCAGAACAATGTGATCCTGAAAAGAGGRGGTAACAATCTTTTAAATAAAGTGGAATCTCAGCTGGATAAAAAGCCATGTCAGGCATAGAGGCAAAAGATCTGCACACAACATGTCTCTCCTGCAAGAGTTATCCCCAAAGCCAAACACAATCGACCCAAAGAAACCCACTACCAGTAACGCCAGAAGAAGCCCTCAACTCCATTTATTTTGAACAACTTAGGATAAAGTTATATTAATTTGCCACCCCCACGGATGTGAAAGGCCTTACCTCTGTTATCATTTTACAGCTTTTGCATGGTCCAATCTGGCTGAATAACTGAAGTATGAGAACCTCAGTCACATCTCTGGAGAGGTTTCCTACATAGCTACACAAGGAAACAAAAAAAACCAAGATTTTAAACCGGAAATTGTCATCTTTTAAGATGTAATTCTGGTTTTAAAAATTTTAATGATTAAGAAAAATCTCCCTTTAAAACATCTTAGCTATCTTAAAGACAGTATTAACAAATTGTTTCATATAGTTTTAAGGCAGCATTCATATGGTTTCTAAATTACAACRTTGGCCACACAACCAAGAAGTGAAGCTTGATTCAGACATAACACTGGACACCAACACCTAGTGCCAATCATTTCCTTGGCACAGAGATGTCAAAAGCATGAAGAACATTGCTCAAGAATGTTGTGTAGAACAAGCAACCAACTGGGCAAAGATATTTTAAGTTTCACTTCCCACTGAGTATCTCGTCAAGAGTACTTCTGAATTTGGGAACAAACACACATCTAACTCTCATGAGCTCAGGAGCAGCTCTCGGACAAATTGTGCCGCCTTGCAAGCTACCAACTCAACTTTTCTGTTTTCCTGAACATTTGGAAAGCCAGCCCACTCACCAACAGACAAGGAAATTTATGCAGCATTATGCCATAGGAATGCACTGTACAGCATCTATCTCAACAGCTTCTACCTTTGTAATGCCCCCCAAAATTCCGGCAGTGTTATTTTAATATCACTCAGACTTCTTGATTCTTGTCAGTTTGTAAATCTTGAGAAATAATTCCAAGTTTTGAAATACTTAACAAGTTTAGGTAAGAGTCCTAGATGTACCAAGTCACAGTAATGGCTGAGAAAGTCATGAATACAAAACTAAATTCTTTTTAACAATGTGACTAATTTGTAATCAAATTATAMACAAAGTGAGCAGTTAAGTGAAAGKCTTGTCACAGTAACAAATGTCAAAAGCCAACAGCAGAGGGACATTCATCATCTTTACAAATAAGCCTGTCAAGGCATAAGGAATTCAAGTGCAACCTATAAGATGAGCAGAATTTTTTGTGATTTAGAAATTGAAAGAATATACATTTTATTCATTTTATTCTCATCTATTATAGAATGTAATGAAACTGCAAACTAGAGTCAGCCTGAGCTGTTAATACAGAAATRTGAACCAGCATTTCTTAGTCTGTGCACAGACCAATTTATTTTGAGCAAACTACAGGTGCTCTAAAATTGCTCTAAGAGGCACCCGTTGAAAACTTTTGAAAAGCAATTTCTGTGCTCAGCAGCTGGACTTTCATCCGGATCAGCAAAATTAAAATGGGCAATGTTTGTTTTCATCGGAACACCACACAATGTTATCAACAGATGTTTGTTTATGTTGTTCTTCTTTCAGCAACTACAGGACAGTTCTACACTTTCTCAGTCAGGACTTCCATGCTACAAGATCCAGAGCGAGTTACTGAAGTATCACATCACCTGAATATAGAATGTCCACTAAAATCTTTCCTGTACTCATTACTTCCTTATTAAATACGTATGAATTAACACAAGTCATTAACAGAAGCCTGTATCGTTATGAAGCTTTTCAGTAGAGAAGTTAAAAAATGAAGAACTCTTAAGACCCCTTACAGGACAAATTATCCATCTCACTGACTTTTCAGTTCTATTCTGAAAACTTAGTAGTTAAACATTTATCCATACAGTCTTTTTGAAATATTAACTGAATTTTTGTTAATCATTCATCAAGATTAAATTGTAAATCACTAAYAGCTTTTAGTGGAAATATTAACGTTTCCAGATACTACTAAAATCAGACGGAAAACAGATATCCCAGTAGGAATTCCAACATTAAGGGTCAGTGGTGCTGTGAACTTACTGCTAGTAGTGGTTTCCTTGGTGTGCTGCAGAACAGTATTTATTGATAACTGTGCCTTTTCAGCAGCACTGACATAAAACTAAAATTAAATACAGTTAAGTCTTATTAGCATTATTTCTACTGCAAATTAGATACAGTACCGAGTACAACTAGCACTAAGAAAAAAACAAATATCATCCTCTTCTGTGTAATATTAACATGTATTTGGGAAACACAAGAAGTCTGAAAATCAATCTGGAGAATTTCTCTTGGTCTCCCAAATTTTTTTTAAAAAAAGGCCAGGGAAAGCCATTCCTCAGCAGTGTGTAAGAAAACTTACTTAACTGCTGGAAGATGTAAGATATACTATGGGGTTTTTGTTATACACTACCATGTCCTCAACAAGATAGCTGTGAGTGAGAATGTTGCATCATAAACCTTAGCTATGAAACAAGCTGCTTGTTTGTAAAAATCTGGATCACCTTGATTGCCAGATTCAGACGGGATGTGAAATCCTAGTGGTCCACTAATTCYCTAAATGTATATGATAAATACTGCCTTGGTACATAATATTACTATTAGTCAGAGGCATTCCCACCCTTCCCAAGTTGCTAAAACTCTGAAACTTCAGTAACACACACCCTGAGAATACTGCACAATAAAGGTTCATGTAACAAAGACAACAATCAGAGAGACCCCAATCTCTCAAACTGTAAAATATAGGAATACAAACCTCTACAAATTTGAAACAATAGGCTATAAAGTAAGTCTTGATGGTTACTTTCATGTCCTTTTTAAACAGACTGCAGTAACATCATCTCCTTCATTACAGTTAAAGATGACTTCAATAAAAACATACACGCAAACATCTTCAGTATGAACGTTTAATACTASAGAACTAAAGAAATAAATATATTCACCACATTAGGAACCTTACCTTTCTGGAAACACAAAACTTGTCTCAGCTGATGCTAATCACCCCCTACACATGGCCAACCTATGGTCAGTTTTCTCCTTCCAGATTCCCCCTTTCCRGCTCAGTTAACACATGATGTACCAYAACAGCATCTTCTAMTTCATGAAATCAAAATTATCAGAACCACACCCCAACAAAAYATAAGATTGCTAAAATGCTACTCTACTATATTTTTTTTTTTGACTGACACATTCTAGAGGATATATTACACAAAATTAAAAAAAATAAATAAAATCCAGCAGGACAGAAGCACTTACTAAACTTTTATAGGTGGTTGTCTTGGATAATGTGACAGGRCAGCAACAGTTGTGGCTTTTTGCATAAAGGAAATAATGTCTGCTCTCTTCTACAAGCCTGAAGCACTTAAATACCAATCAACAAACAGCTACCAAAAACCCCAACAACCTACAGATAGATATCCTAACATAAATTTGAATGCTCCTAACAACATAAAGAATAGCAAACTACTTGAAATTTAGAGATCTTGTAGAACTATCTAAAGAATAGAAGAGGCACGTATCAGCCTATAATGAGTTTCAGAACTAAACTCTTTGGCTTGAGCAGAAAAATTCTCTTTTTGAAGGTAAACAGGTTTATATTGTATCCCAGACAACAGGGAGGTAAGAAATGGGCATTTACAGACAGTACTTTTAGGGCCACAAAACTCCCTCACATCCTTTTTTGAGGAAAGATAGTAAATCTGATTTCTCTCTCAGGCAGCATGCAAGAAATGGCAGTTTCYATATTTAAAAGAAAAAATSATGATCAGCAATAAGGTAACTGATGTGCTCAAGACCTCATAGAAATTCTAGCAGCAATTTTGCCTAGTGCTAGTGAGTTACTGGAAATAAAATGATACCAAGAAAAATCCACTCTGTAGTCTCCTCTAGGAGACAACATTSCTGTAAAAGAGCCAAACTGAAAGGAAGCTCAAGAGAAGTGAATCCGGGTGAAGCCTTATCCACATTCCAGACTTGGAATACAGCATGGCAAGGCTGATAACTTGTAGCTATTCAGTGACTTCATGGGCAGTCACCGAATACCTACAAACCACACTGAACATTTTTTAAAGCATTAACGAGAATASACAAATTTGGAACTTTTCTGGTTGTCTGTGAGAATGGATAACRTTAGCAACACATCAAGTTTCTGATAGTTCAGTTTCCACTTTAAAGTAGAAGCAGGACTTTGATACAGCCTGTGAAATCTAACAGCACTCACACAAAACAGYTTTCAAGTGTTCTATTAAAACAAACAAAAAAAAAATCAGAAGCTCACAGCTCATTTTAGGACCAGCAAAAAAAWT